GTCAAGTCCCTTAATGGCCTTAATTGACTTTGTTTGCATTAAAAATTATAAAAAAAAAAATAATTTATCGTATAACTAAGAAATATTTCGTTTCTAATAACATTCTTATTTATATTTTTTTTTTAACATTTATTGGTTTAATTTAAACTTTTTACTGTACCTCAAAGTGGATTGAAATCATTTTTGGGTGCACAGGAAAACCAGCAACGGATGTGAGAGAAATCAAGTAATGTGAGACTGACAATCAAAAGGAGCGTTGATGATGAACCTGTATGTCAAAAGTGATCATAAAAAACGAGAGTCGATCCAACATAATGATCATTTCAATAGTAAGGAGCGACGTGTGTAGGTCAGGAGGCCGCGCGCGATCGAGAGTCTCAAAATCGCGCTCAGCATGACACATCCGCCGTCGATGGATGCTGGGAAATGGGCCTCGTTTTAGCCGTCTCTGTTTGTTATCGCCACTGTTTGCATGAACGTGTCGTTTGCTAAAAACGCGTCGCGTGTAATCCGATTAGACGGACGATGAAATTTAATTAAGATTCCGTGTCCGAGGGCAGAGTTAAAGAAATCTGGGCCGCGGCGCGAGATTTTTGCCATTCGGAATTTCGCACGACCGACCGCAGCAGACAGAGGCAAAACGGTAAAGTCCCCTGTCTGCACAATAAGCAGGCGTGAAATTGAAATTTAGAATATAACAGGATTGGTGGTCGATTGTGGTGTCAATCATTTTCGGCCACAACCGGCTCCTGCATAAACACGACACACAACAATGGGCCATACCAAACACGCCGTTTAGCGCACTCGACCTGCGACCTCGTACTATAAAGACAAGCTGGCGATTCAGCACTTCTACAAGTAAACAAATATCAAGATCTTATGACTCTCATCTTTATATTATAATTAATGAAAATATTGAAGTCACAAGGCAAATAAATATTTATATATAAAGATTGTTCTCAATTCAATTCAATTTTATTGTTGTTCTGTTAGACAAGAATATTAACAGTAGTCTTTAGAACATGTCAGGTCTAAAATTAAAATTTAGAGAGAAAAAACCCGTTGCTTAGGGCTATTTTCAATAGCTGTTAGCAGTGTAATATGTTTAAATATTCTATTGATAAATTTCAGTTACAAATTGCAGCTTGTGGGAAAATTTAAAAGGTGGATGAATTTGTTTCTCCATATGTTCCCGAATTTGGAAGCTTCACAAGTCAAAAGTATATAAAAGGTGTCCAAAAATAATGCATTCCAATCTTATTGTTAAGAAACCCCGAATATACCTAATGATAAAAAAATCTAGAAAATAATTGCATGTTTTCTTATTATCATTATTATTATTGCTGTTTATTTTTCCACATTGTTACTAATATAATAATTACATTGTCAATTAGAATATAGAATGCGGGACAATTAAGTCCAGAGGAGTAAGATTGGTGCACGTGGACATTTATTTATCTTAATTTACAAGTTTCACAACAAACATTTCCGCAGGCGGAGCAAGAACAGAGGAAAAATCAGATTTAAGAGCCGCAAGCACGGCACATAATTAAATTATATGCCGGCTGTCAAGTGGCATTTCATGACTTCTATATGCTTTTAGAACGCGCTGCTTTTTGTGTTGGCTGATGACGAATGCACTCGCGGCGGAACGGACAAATGCGAGTAGAGAGTTAGCCCGATTAAAGCTGTGTGTGGCTCTCACTGAATTAAAAAATGATTTGCACAAATTATCGAGAGAGACGAAAAGCAAATGTGACCCGCAGCAGGGCCGAGGTGAAAAGCGGAGAGAACCTAATTTTCAAATAAGCTTCTTCTTCTTCTGCTCACTTTCGTGAACCGTGCATGACTATTGTGTGAATTTACTCAAAGGTGTCTGAATCGCGCGACGTGCAGTCGGACAAATTCAATGGACGACACATAAAATCACAATGAACTCGCCGCAGACACAAAATCTCATGCTCGAGCAACGCGATGATGCATCTTGTTGATTCGTAATGAGCCTTTCTTTGCGTGCAAAAATTTGCCACACTCACACGTGGGGACCTTTTGTGATGAAATGCCCTCCGGCTACGGAATTCTGGCTACGAAATGACAATGACAGGGCTCTACTATGCTCATTGTCAAGGTGTATTTCTGCCTGATATAAAAAAAAATAATAAATCTAAAAAAAAAATTGTTAATTGTTGTTGTATGGGAACAGTTCTATTTTTGCATCATTTATTATGCCTGAGAAAGTTTTTATTCAGTGCTTAAAAGTGTGGTGTAAATTAAGTCTAGAATTTTATAGATCTAATTGTAGACCACACAGCATTTATTTATGTTGCGGCCTATAAAAGCAGAAGGGGGTTGGGAATTTTTGATTTTATTTGTGCCTAGATCTTTGTAAGCTTCTTCAAATTATCCGTATAATGGCTGGTCATAAAACCAGGCATGTAATAAAAATGCACATATTAAAAATATTTTTAAACAGCTTGAAAAGCGGGATGGGAAAATTATCTTCTCCATAAAAGCATTATAGTCCACGGTGGTCCAAATTTTTCCTTGTTCTGCTTTATTTGCACAACGGGGGTTTCAGCTGATTCTGGGCCATATAAATACTTAATTTACTTCAATTGCCGCACGGCGAGCAGCGTGTGCTGGAAGTGTATTTATTATTTCAGTCTTACACAGTCGTCTTTAATTTGGGACACATACGCTCACAGCACGAATTTATAATGTGCCCAATCAAATTTTATCTTTCAACATTTTAAGTAAGAAATTACTATTCGTAGGGAGGGGGGATTCATTTCCAGATTTTCGCATTTAAATTATAAAACGTTGCATTTTTTCCATTTTTAAGATTCCCTCTCATTAATTAAAATTAATCGCGCAAGTCATGTGTGCCAAATTTTGCAAATTATACCCTAGTGGCACGTGCACTTTTCACTGCGCTCCTCCTAATGACAGGTCTATTGTTCCAAACTAAATTCGCGGAAAATTAAATAGTGCTAAATGAAGCTATCATCCTTATCTGCAACAAACCAGCAAGACATCAAATTCCAGTTCAAGCATGAAAAAATCAGAGCTCAGAAACGTTTATACAAATTTCACAAAAAAATATACACTTTCTTGGCCGGAAAGCAGATTAAAGAAAGTCATGCCACGCAGCATCCCAAACTTGTACCATATGATTATCGTTTTCATTTCCTCTCTATATTTCCAATTGAAAGCTTGAACTATACACAAAAATTTTTGCACGGCCTTAATAAAAGTTTTTCTCTCTTGAAAATATCTCAGAAATAGTACATGCTCGAAGCATGACGGCGCATGCAGATAAATAAATAAAATAATATTAACATATCGCAATGATCATGATTCGCCTTCTGTCTGCTGCAGAGTGGTAATCGCGAAAATTCATTTTTTTATCATCCGCGACAAACTTGACCTAATCCTACTCGGAATACTGATAAAGGAAAACCGCAAGACGAGATGAAGAGAACCGGGTGCGATTAGTAAGCACACAATTGAGACTCGCAAGTACTTTCTGATGAATAAGTTGTTACGTCTCTTGTGAATTATAGAAAGGCCACTTGACAGTGCGCGAAACGTAATTTTCAAATAGAGATAGATGCAACTGTGTATTTCTACTCATTTTTTCGCGATCGAGCAAAGTCCAACTGGTTATTTTTTTTTAGAAAGCTCTATAGTTTTAGAATTAAAAAAGTTATACTATCTGTTAATTAATTAAATTGACCACCATCAGAGAACTCAATAAAATTACTTCTTTTCTATGAAATAATTGCCATATTTTTTAGACTAATAATTTTATTATTTTGTGGCCTAATAATACAATTCACTCCTGTAAAACCGCTGACTAAATGACTGAAATCGTTTGCAAAAAATATGCTCTGGTTTTGAAACATGCTGCATTCCGACAAGTACATCTTCATCGTCATGAAATTTAAAAAGCTGCTCAGGCCACATTTTGATGGACGTCGTGCGCAGTTAAAATAAATAATAATCAATTTTAAGCTCCTTTTGAAAGCATAAGGAGAGCATTGCGCCTCTTTTTGTCGCAATTTTATTCAGGTTACTGCACTTCAAAGCTAAGTCGGAGGATGTAAAAAATTCAAAAACTGCTCACTCTCGATTCAGATTTGGGTTAAAGACGGGCAGGAGGAAAGTTTTCAGGTGTTTCTTTTCACCCTGCTGGCGGCTGGAAAGTGTACCGACGCGCACCTTGAAGCAACGAGAGAGCGCAGGAAACATACAAGACAATGATTTAATTAAAATCAAATGTCCCCGGGCAAGACAGATGGTCCTACCGAGAGATGTTCCACATTCGTCTCTCTCTCTCTAAATAACTAGCTAACTGCACCATCCAGCTCGCTCGCGTCCCACATTGCACTCCGGCTGCTGAATCGGAGAGACGAGACGCAAATCAAGTGCATCGTGCCTGCCGAGCCGCTGCAGCGACCCTTGACCTTTCTTTCTCTAATCATTTCTTCAGGCGATTTCATGCTCCAGGCAAACACGGAAAGCTGCGGCCGACCTACAAGTCTGGCGAATAGTTCAAGTTCAATGCATTTTATACACAGATCAATCGATGTTGGAAACGCTCGTCTAGCACCCAATTAGAAAGATAAAAACCTAATATGGCAGAAAGTAAATTTAAGAAAAATTAGCAATTAAAATTTATAGAATTTTAAAACTAATACAATAACGTGATTATAAATTACAATAATTATTAAAATTTAAATTTTATCTAATTTTTTTAATATAAGCACGTGCAATTGTTTAGATTTTTTGTTATAATTTCGTGTTTATCGAAAATAGTGAGAAATAAATACATTTCTTCTCTTTGCAATAACAGGAACAAAATAAGGAATTCTGATCTAGGAACTACGAATGAGTTCCATATCATAAGTTTTAAGAAAACTGAAAATGCGCCTACAAAGGGGCACCAACAAAATTGGTATTAAAATAAGGAAATTGAAAAAAATTAATATAAATCTTAATAAAGTGTTTTGATGAATAATTTATTTCTTTTTTATAATGTAAGCAATTTTATGTATTTTTGTTCTTATTTCCTAACGAATGTTCAAAAAAGTGGTAGAAATAAATCCACTCCAAGTCTTTCTTCTCTTTACACACTATAACAAGTAACAAGAACGAAAAGGAATTCTGATCTAGGAACTGTGGAGGAGTTCCATATCATATCAATACAGTTTTAAGAAAACTATAATAGAAAAGAAGTGTGATTCTCAAGTAGAGAAACAGTTGACATGTTGTTCATTAGAGAAGCATGCAAGACGTAGAGAAAATATAAAAATAGAGTAACAAACAATCTACAATTTTTTGTTCTCTTCGTATCTCAGAACACTCACAAACACATTAAAAAGGTGAATATTCTAACATTACATTAGAACTCAGCATAAATTTGAAAAAAATATACCAATAGAATGGGAGCTCAAGAAAGGGTTTTAACTAACAAAGTAAATTATTAACAAGCAAGAGAGTTTAGCAATAACTGAGGAATATCATCTAAATGACACTTAAAAATCAGTCATCGACTTTTATGAGACACTCTTTGAGACTGCAGTTAAGTGGCGACAAGGGCGAGCTGTTGGTCGACTCTGCAGGGCTTCTGATTATGTCAACTGGGATGGTTCTTCTGGGGGCAACAGGCGAGTTGTCCACAACTTTTAGAGGCTGCTGCTCAAATCCTGAGGGCTTCTGGGGAGAAAAGGATCATATACCTTAGGCATTTTTTTTTAAATTACAGGTTTTAATTATAATTAAATTGTCAAACAAGAGCTTACTTGATCATTGTAGACTGGAACAGAAAATTCGTCAGATTGTTTGTTGAGACTGGCCTGGTATCGAACACCTTTGCCAAAGAAGTTATGACTAAGGTTTGCTGCATTCGGGAATTTTAATTTCCTGTTAAAAATTAAATTATTAATTACAGTTAACAATAATTTCATAAACTCAAATTTATATACCTAATGTTGAGCACTTCTCCAAGAGTTTTCTTTCCTTTGATCAAGTAGAACCAAATGAAACCAGCAGAGGAAATAACAAGGACCGTAAGAAACAGCGACGCCACTATAGCTCCAGCGTGATGGTGAATTCTTCCTTGCACATTTTGTTGAGCATTAGATGTTTCCTCCTGGAAAAAAAATATTAATTAAATTTTGAGACCTGCAACATATTTTCACAAAAATTAAAACATACCATCTCCAAGCAGCTCTCATTTTCACACAGACAGGTTGCTCCATTAGGAATTTGCACACATATACCACTTCCGCAGTTGACAGCCTCACACAAATTAGGCGCTGCAAAAATTAAGTATCCATGATAATATGCAAAACATAACATATATCGAATAAAAATAAAATTACCAATTGGTTGCATAGCCTCATGGACTAGTTGGAAGTGGACAACATCATAGGCGTGGAGCTCAACGTGTTTGCACTCGTAAGGGTATCTCAGGGAGCACTTGGACAGTTTCCAGGAGCCACCATCGATCCAATAAATGTTGTCCTCAAATAGAGCAACACCAACTGGCCTCTGAAGCTAAAAAGAAATAAAACCAATCTAAATTTAGAATAAATAAAAGGTGTTGCTCACTTGTTTGATGGATAGATGATTTCTTTGAGATCCCTCATAGTTGGCATATTCAATGATGCTCTTCCCTTGGTCGGACCAGTAAATCTGCTTTTTGACCAGGTCTAGAGCAAGGCCAGAAACCATCGCCAGACCAGATTTGATGACAATTGTTGCATTTTTTCCATCCATGTTAGCACGCCATATTTCATTCACAGGCCTTTTATCATCATCGACAGATAGCTCCGACCAGAAAATGTAACTGAGAGAAAATAGAAAATTTAAATTTTAAGATTTTTCGGGTGAAAATAATTACCCTTCTCTAGGGTCAACAACCATGCTGGTAACCTCGTTGGCTCTGAAGGCAGTGAGAATTTTGGAGCACCTTTCCAATTTGACATTGCAAACTTTGATGGTCGGGTATTGTAATTGATCGACCACGTAAATATTGGAAGAAATCCAATCCAGAGCAAGTTTCTTTGGGTTTTCCACAATCCGATCGATCTGCTTCTCCATCTCGTTGGCCTCTGACATTTGAGTCAGCTTGCCTGTTGCAGCTGCCGGCAGTTGCATTAAGTACCGACGAAACACGTTGAAATAACTGTTACCTGTGCTCCAATAAATGTGATGCAAATGAGCATCCACTGCCAGGCCAGACACTGTGAGACCGGTGTGAGATGTCAAAATGTCCTGCCGCATTGACTTGAGGGAGACTTTTCTAATTTCCTCATTTGTAACAAACACAACATCCAGGTTGCGGCCTAATAGTAAAAAAGAAAAGAAAAATCGTTAATTTTTGAGATAATTGAAAGTTAAATTCGATTACCATTTGCCTTGCAAGACCGTCTGTCAGACCGAAGGGTGTAGCCGCTTGCACAAGAACAAATAAAACTGCCAAGAGTGTTTCTGCAGTAGTGAGAGCAGGTGTTTGGTTCTGTTTCGCACTCGTTGATGTCAAGGCAGGTGCGGCCGTCTCCAGACAAAGCATATCCGGGGAGGCAAGAGCAACGGGGGCCTTTGGGAGTGCTATGACATACCTGTGTGCAGGGATTTTTACCTTCTTTGCATGAAGATTCTGTAAATGATGCATTTGAGGTCAGTTAAAAAGAGAATATTTACTATAATAAATTTAAAATACAATTTTAACAAATTTAGATTTTTAGCAGAGATAGTAAAAGTTTTTTTTTCAATTTGAAGATTAAATAAAAACATGTGAAAATTACATAAAAAGTTAAAACATAATTTATATTAATTATAAAACTGCAATCTAAACAGGAACTTACCACATCGACCTCCTTCATCAGTCTCATCTCGGCAGTGGATAGATTTGTCACAGACCAAGCTAAAGCGCAGACACTCTCCGGATTGGCATCGGAACTCATCGCAATCAGAGCGAATTTTTGGGGCTTCCGTGGAGGGTTTTGGCGAGCAGTCTCTCTCGTCACTTCCATCAGAGCAATCTTCAGTTCCGTCGCAAACCCAACTGTCAGTGATGCATTGGCGTGTTGATACACACTCAAATGTGCCCTCACCACAACCACAGCTCATCTCATCATCACCAAATGGGCATTCTCGTGTTCCATTGCACCTGCAATTGTAGACACACATTTTATTAATAATATTAATTTCCGCAATACTTTGAATTAATATATGCAGCAACAAACATAAAAAGCATAGAGAGAAATCTAAATCCTACATTTTGAAAGAAAAAACTACCTTGCACTTTCAGGAAGACATAGGACCTTAGATGCTGATTCACAGCGGAACATGTCCACTGCACATTCCTCGACATTTTTCTCCACCTCTTTGTCCTCTTTGGAGCGCCCCTCATTACAGGTCTCATCACTTCCATCTCCACAGTCATCTTGGCCATCACATAATAGTTTACGATCCAAACATTGCCCATTTTCACAGCGGAAATCTGTTGAGAGGCACTTTTCCACCTCTAAAACAATTTTAATAAAAATGATGATTTATGATAATTAAAAAAAATTACCGCATTTGCTGTGCTCATCTGAACCGTCTTTACAATCTAGACCTCCATCGCACTCCCAGGTTTTTGGTATACAGGCGCCATCTCCACACTTAAATTCTTCTGCACTGCAAGAAGCTGCAAAATAAATGTTTGCATCTTAATAAATAATTGAATAATAATGTATTATATCCTTACTATCAGAGCAAAATGATTCATCTGAGCCGTCGGAGCAATCCCTGATCGAGTCGCAAACAAGAGTACGAGAGATACATTCTCCAGAAAAACAGGTGAATTCAGAATCTATAACACAAATTTAAGAAAAATTGTGGATAAGAAAATAATTTAAAATAAAAAAAAACCGCAAAATTTTTTATGCCACAGAGAAGTTAAAGGTAGGCAGCTGGCAGCCTTTACGTGTTACGCAGGTTGCCTACTCAAATTTGACAAGGCGTTAAGCAAACTTACTGATGTCACAGAATTTAATCTCTTTGCAGTTCTCCTCATCAGAACCATCGCTACAGTCCTGGGTGCCATCACACCTTTTGGAATGGAAAACGCAGTCTCCATTTTTGCATTTGAACGAGTCTGGCTCGCAAGTAGTTTCCCCACAGTCCTCCTCGTCTTCTCCGTGGGGACAATCGATGTGGCCGTTACACCTGAAAAGTTAGACATAAAAATTCCCTTCTAATTGGTATTTCCAGTAATACCTTAAAGATTTTGGAATACAAAGGTCATCCATTTTGCATTTGAACTCCTTTTTGCTGCAGTGAGAGGGAGTGACACAAGTGAGATCGTTGCTCTTCAGGTGCATACCCAAAGGACAACCACACTTAACTCCTGCTTTCATGGCAAAGCAGATGTGGCTGCAGCCACCGTTTTCCACCTGGCAGCCGTGCACTGTGTCGGGGACTGCCTGCAGAGTGGCCAAGTACATGTTAGAAGCCTCGTTGACATCTAGAAAAAAATAATTTTTTTATTTAAGAGATCACAAAATTCACAAACACAAGCAATTTTGAAATGATGACTTGCTTAAAGCCTACCTAGCTTAGTCTTGGTCATTTTGCTCTGGCCCATGTGAACATCTGCCCAGTGCAAATACGCTGAATGAGAACTGGTCCAGAACATGTGAGGGCCCAAAGCAGTCATGGAAATGGGCTCCGTGGATTCATATCGCCACTCATGTCTGTCAAGCGCCTCATCGTCTGTGCTCTCAATTTTACCAGTCGCATCGTCAACCCAGAAGACTCTCTGGAGACCTTTGTGGAAGGTGAGCGCGGTGGGAGAACCACTGATGTCTTCGATTCCATGCGTGTGACCTTGGCCATCCATGCCGAAGACGTCTATGTGATGGTGGTGGTCAGAGGTCAATCCAACAAACAATGAACTGGAAAAAATGTGTTAAGATTAATTAATTTCTTAAGTAATGCAATTACCCTTGCTCTGGAATTAGGGCCAAACCCGACGGATAGTTTCCTCCCAGATCTCTGACAATGATCATTCTCTCCCTGGTATTAAAACTGTACACTTCAATGACTTGCCGCTCAAAGTCACACCAGTACAGATTATTTCCCAGGTGATCTTAAATCAAATCAAATCAATCATCACAGTTTACAAATTTAAATAATTATCTACCATATTCCATGTCAATAACCAATCCAATCTGACTATCAATTAACACTTTGGTTTTCAACTTTTTCAAATTGAAGGACACAATCCTTTTGTTCGCAGGATCAGAGCTAGCAATGATGGCAGCATTTGTCTTTGAGTTGTATGTAAGGGCAGAAATGCTTTCAATGTTTTGGAGAGGTACATACGAAACGTTTTGCTTTCCAAGCAGCTGATGCTGGATTTTGATCAGTTTGTTTCCGGCTCCAATCAACACTGCTGAGGTTTTGGTTTTCTCTAAAATTTCCAAAAAATGAATCAATCAACGAGATTTCAATATTTAAAATGAAATATTTACCAACACAGGTAAGTTTATCTTGTCCTAGGTCCATATATGATGGGCAGGCGCAAGCATATTTTCCCTTGGGGGCCAAAAGACACAAGTGGCTGCATCTCGACTCTTCACACGGATTACGAAGCTGCAAAGAATTAAAATGTACACAATATGTTAGCATATCTTGAAGAACTGCCATTCATATGCGTGAAATCTCTTGTGGACTAAGCAAAAACGAAGAAGTTTTAACTACCATTTCCTTATACTTAAAGTTGTAAAGATGTGCTTTAAAATGTGTATCATGGGTCATTGAATAATATATCATTTAAAATTTTCAATCATATATGTAAACAAAAAATGTATTATGAACAAATTTTACTTTTGGTTGTAGGGCAGGATGGTAAATGTGGATTCCATTGATGGCGTTCTTCCTCTCTCTCACAATTGCGGTTTGATTTTTGCCGGTGAACTTATCACACGAATATATTTCTTTGCCACTGAAGTCACTCCAGTACAATCTGTTTTCAAAAATAGCTATCGAGTACGCTCTGCTGACGGACATTTTCAGCACAACCTGTTAAATTTCAATAAAGAAAAGTTGCACATTTACAGCTTAAAATTAAATTACCCTCCGATCGCTACCGTCCATTTTGATAGATTCGATGATGTGAACCTTAGAGTCGACCCAGTAGAGCCGCCTGTTTCCATAGTCTAGAGCTAAACTGTTTGGATAAGAATCCTTTTCAAGCTCAAGAAACACAATTGGATCTGATCCGTCCATTCCAGCTTTGGCAATGTGCGGTCTAGTCCCCCAGTCAGTCCAAAACATGGTTCTGCAAAATGTTAAATTTTTTAAAGGTAGAAGATTAAATAAAAAATAAAATACCCTTCTTGTGGAACAACAACGATGCCGTGCGGCGCGTCTGTAATAGTGTTGACCAAAACAAAACACCAGTGTCCATCGTCTGTGCAGACAGAGACAGTTTTTGTCCTGCTGTCGGTGAAGTAAAGCTTCTTGCTGACCCAGTCCCAGGCCATGTTCTCCGGCTGGCCGAGACCCGAGTTGACAATCACTTCCTTTTTCGATCCGTCTTCCCTGCTCTTCATGATCTTCTCCTGGCCATTCTCCAGGGTACTCCAGAAGATATTGTGGCCATCAAAAGCCACCGCAACCACCTGTTGCTGCCTTCCCTGCACTTTGGTCAGGTGCTGTGTGGTTAGCGAATAGGAGCGAATTTCCTTTCCATTCGAGTAAACCAAAATCGACTCCGAAACTAATAATGATAAAATTATCAACCTTAATAGGTTGGATTACAATTTACGTACCATCTTCGGCCAAGCATGTTTTATCATCTTTGGCTAAAACGTAGCCATCCTCACAGCTGCAGGCATGTCCTCCAACCCAGTTGTGGCACTTTTGGCCACAAGATCCATAAATCAAGCATTCGTCAATGTCTAGAAATGTAAATTTTTATATTTTACAAAATAAATCAAATGCATATTAAAATTAAGATATGTTTAAAATGACGAGTGGAATATTTCTAAGTGACTCTAAGAAAAAAAAAATAATAATGCAGTAGAATTTAGAATTTCACGATCGAGGGTTGAGATTCATGATGATTTTAATTTGAAGTCATCTTTTCCTCGATGGGTTTGTGATTTTATTTGTTGTTTTTCTTAAACGATAAACAACTCACAAAACCCATCAAGGAAAAGCCGAATAAATTCAAATCACAAAAAAAAATTACCTTCACATTGAGTGCGGGACCCTTCTTTCATTCGGAAACCGTGGTCACAACTGCAAACAGCACCCTTCGGAGAACGATGGCAAACATGACTGCAACCAACCTCTTTACACATTTCTTCATGATTGAACACTGGAAGTTAGAATTGCGAGTGAATTTTATGTTAAAACTTCATATAAAAAGCAGCTTACTGCAGAGTGGGCCTTCATCATCACCTTGGAGACAATCAGTGTGGTTGTCACATAGAGAATTTGCCGAAATGCAAGTGATGCCGTCCTGGCAGAGGTAGTAGCCCTTTTCCGGCTTGCAATCGGCAATAGGCACATTTATGTGGCCAGCAGCTTTAGATTTTATAGATTAGTAATAAATCATGAATAATTAAAAGCTGCAATTTGTAATATATTTACCAGGACAGTTTTCCTCGTCGCTTCCATCAGAGCAATCTAGAGAGCCGTCACAACGAAACTCTTCAATGATGCACTGCCCACTTTTGCAACGGAAACCATCGCACGATTTCTAAAGGAAAAAAAAATATTCAATCTATTAGAAATTTTCTAAAAATTAATCAGATTTAAATTTGGGAAGGATTTATAGAGAAAATACACTGACATTTTCACAGTGCTGTTTTTCGTCACTGCCATCGGGGCAATCTGCTATTCCATTGCAAATCCACAAGAAAGGGATGCACATGCCATCGTCGCATTTGAACTCTCCCACTTCACACGTATGATTATTTTCCGTCTATAATAAACATGAGGATTGGAGATTAATTGACCCTAAAACATCAATAATTATTACCCAATGACGTCTATATTCACAGTTAGTCGGTTCGTCGCTCCAATCGCCACAATCATTACCGTCATCACAGAAAAGGGACTTTGAGATGCACTTGCCGTTCTCACATTTGAACCACATCTCGGGCGTGCACAATAAATAATCTAGAATAATATTATGTTAATAGCATGAGGGAGGACAACAAAACCGGTGTTGTGTAAAACTGATAGCATAATTAAGTACATAATTATCTTACCACAGTCAACTTCATCACTGCCATCTGAGCAGTCGGGAGAACCGTCACAAACGTGGCTCTTTTGAAGGCACTTGTCATCTGATGCACAATGATGCTCATCAATTGAGCACACCGAGTCTGCACTTGCATCTGTCAAGGTTTATCAAAATAACCAAATTAATTATAAAAATATGGAAACACTCACAGGAAAGAAATAAGAAGATATAATAATTATTGTTATTAAAATTAAATAAACTTATAATTAGTTTAAATTAATTATTGTTAAGCATAGAAAACATGTGGATAAAATAAAAATAGGAAATTATGTATGAACAAAAAAAAATTGTTATTCTGGAATAATTTATGAATTAATTTGAACCAATTGGCATTCACAATTAGCGAATAATTATTTTACTAATTATTATGTACCGTGTAGCTCTGCATATCTTAATTTAGGAAGCCAAAACAACTTTTATATTTAAAAGATGCATTAATATAAAAAAACGCACACTTAATTAATTTAACACAAAACACGTGCATAAAATAAAAATAGAAAATAATAGAAATGCTGTTATTCCCAATTATTTTTGCAGAAATTATAACCATTTTAAAGCAAAATAATTTATTTAATCGTTATGAACTGCAGGTTTTAATTTCTGACGCCAAAAATGATTTTCTTGAAAGAATCGCACAGAGAATAAAGACCCCCCCCCCCCCCCCCCCGAAGTAATCTGAAATACGCTGGCTTTGCGCGGTCAAAAGTACAAAATTCCGCAAATTCCATCCAAAGCAAGCAACTCACCGTGACAGGAATTTGCTAAAAGAAGACAAAGGACCGTCGCTGCAGCTAATGATGAGCCGCATTTCGCAGCTCCCGCTGGCAACCACATCAGACCTGCAACCATAAAAACAGAATTCGTTCAACAAAAGGTCGCGCGCAAGGTCATTGTTGAACGCGCATTGCAGAAATTCCAACGTGCATTTCTTCTAGAAATTTCTGCACAATTTTCGTTTAAAATATTATTAATCTGCCCATACGCACATGATAATAGCACAATAATCATGTTTAAAAATCAGATCAAATGTGAAACATTTCGTCGATGCAGATTATTTTCTAATTTTTAATTAAAAGTGCTAAAAATCAATTATGATTTGATTCCCAACGCTGCTTTTAATTTATTTTCTTTGGAAAATTTTTTTGCTTCAAAATTTATGTTTCTAAAGCAATAATTTAGATGAATTAACCCACGAATTCTTTAGTAAAAATGTGCTCGATTTGAAATTTTTAACAGAGGAATTTTATGCATTATTTTCGACGATGATAATTTCGCAGGGCACGACAATTAAAACCATTTCAAGTAAAGTTCTAAATTTTGTTTGAATTAAAAAAAAACGCACTCACCAAAAATCCAGAAGACGGGAGAGAAGTGAGCAGGTCGGGTCTCGCTGATGGCCGAACCTACAAGAACACAAGACAAGACGAATTGGCCGGTGCAGTGAGTTGAGTAGGTCGTCGGTCGCGAGAGAAAGGATGACGTCAGAAATAGGGTAGGGAGGGGGTTTTCCTTATGAAGAGACGGTGGAGGAGGAGAAAAGAAGAAATAATACAAGTTCAGACTTGAAACATAGAAAATCATGATTCATGATGTGGATGTTTGTGTGGAATGCGGTGAAATGAAAGGAGGAGATGAGAGGGACATGCACGTGTGAAGAACCCAACTCATTCTTTTTTTTTCTCTCTTCTATTTTTCAAATACTGAAATAATATTAAATTTCAACATTAAAATTTGCCGGCACTGAGGGTTTTTTTAATTATAATTACATAATTGAATTGATTTAATACTAACACAAGCAATTTTGCTCCCCCTTCTTCCCGCTCTGACACTCTCCCACCCTCTTTTCACATCCCCTGCAGGCCTGCATTATTATTGTTTATTTATGAAACCTGAAATCAGTCGTTTTAGTTTTTAGTCTTGGCCATCTTGGGGTCGTTTGGGGGTTCGGTGCGATGCCAATAGTCGTGTGTGGTGCATATTATGCACATCAATTTGAGTGCAACATCAATTTGATATTGATGTTATCGGGATATAGACACACAAAACTAGCAAAAAACTTAGTTTCGAAAACGAGAGTGAAGTGAAAATCGCGGACTGGATTAACATTTTACCAACATTTTACATTGGATGGCCGCGGCTTTCAAGAGTTATGGTTTGTTAATTTTTATAATCATATTATTTTATTCCTTCACTGGCCTTTTTTCAGCCAAGTAATTTGTTGCTATAAAATCTATTATCATATTTGATCATATTATGCAAATCCTTTTGTAAAAGTAATATTAAAGACAACGACGTCGTGTGAATATTTTTGTCTACATCTTTTTGGTCTCGCGGAATTTTTAGCAGAACCATAATATTTGTCCAACAGTTCAAGGTGTTTGCAGTCCTTCTAAATTTTTTTGCTTCAATATTTAATTAATACAAATAATCAAGAAACCAAAAATAAAATATAATGTACCAATATCCATATGATTTGTAGAAAATAATCCAAATAATCATTGACGAGTGTGGCTGTTTTAGGCAATAGATTGTAAATCTATCTACGAGTTACCCTCCTCTAACAAAATTTATGATTTAAATTTAACATTTGTATTGTCCAGTTCATGTCTGAATAGTTTTGAAATAAAAATTTTTTTATTCGTATAAACTCCTTCTCTTTTGTAAATAGTTTTATTATTTTTTTTTTTTTAGTGACACCTTTCAAGCCCATCAAGCACAGGTCAGTTGGCACCGGCTCTTGGATTTATTTAACAGAAACTCAGGTGAAAAGTGCACGCAATACAATTTGACGGATTTTGGCGTGGAAAAACTTGGAAAAATTAAAAAAACATTCCGGGGAAAACGCTATTGTAGTTGCAACTTAAAAATTGAATATCTCGGGTTCTATTTGAGTTACAGAAATGCGGCTAGAACCTAAATTTCCTAAATTTTTTCCTCTTCAACCCTGAGGATACAAATTATTCAGAGGTCAAAGGTCAAGGTCATTTTCTATGGGTTACGTGCACAAAATAGTTCAAGCTAAAATATGTCACCATTGATTGGGCTAAACTTTTTTTCTAAGATATAGTCCTAACATACAGGAAAAACTATTATTCAAAATTCAGAATGGCATGATCTGTTTTTAGATTTTTATATTAATATAAAAAAAATCCGAAAGGTAAAAAACGTGAATTTTTTACTTGTTGCCAATGATCAAAAACTTTATATTGAGAAAGTACGCATCTAATATGGATAAATTTATTTATTTTTTGACGTTATTTCCCAAATTTTCAAAAAATGATCGCTCAAAAATTCTTAAAATTAATTTCCAACCATTTTAAAATAGTAAAAAATTCACGTGTTTTTTTACCTTTGTGATTTTTTTATTAAAAATCTAAAAAAGATGCCATTCAGAATTTTTTTTATACATATTCTGTTGTTCCTACATGTGTTTTGACTATCTTAGAAAACAATTTCAGCCCAATCAAAGGTGGCATATTTTTGCTAGATTTGTTTGTATTTGTACATGTGACCTCTAGAAATGACTTTGATTTCTGAATGATTTGACCTCCAAAGAAAAGAGGGAGGCAAAAATATGTAAAGCCACATTTCTGTATCTCAAATAGAACCCCCGAGATATTCAATTTTTACTTGAAACAGTAGCGTTTTTCAGGAAAAGTTCAAAAAAGTTTTTGACTTTACCAAGTTTTTTCCACGCCAAAATCCGTTAAATTATGTTTAATTTTCACCTGATTTTGCGTAAATAAATCCACGACCGCTTGCCAACCGACCTGTGCTTTGGCTTGAAACTTGAAAGGTGTCATGAATGAAACACAAGGCAAAATTCTGTTGATCAAAATTTATTGATTTATCTCTTCACAAAAATCCTACGTAACACAGCAAAATTGTAACAATTAGTTTTGTAGTCGTTTGAGTGAGGTGTTTCATTATTTCCTATTACGTTTTACTTTCATGATAAATATATATTATATGTGTGTATTGTTATGCGTTTAATACACGTTTTATATGTATTGTGTATGTTGTAATCAATTAAGAGACAATTTATCCAACACATCGATGTACGTGCCTGATGCGTATTTTGTTCCTTCAAATAGTGAAATATCTATGTACACAGCAATAAATTGTCAAAATACTCACTCATTATGTTCATTTTAAATGCACAATCATAAACATTTCGGTTTAATTTGGCCAGTTTCAAATTTACAAAATCTACCACAAATTTATAATCCAATCGTTTGAAAAACCATAAGCTTATGTTTCCCAATCTCCAGCAGACTTAAATTTCTTTTTGAGACAAAAAGAGTTCTGAAGCCTTTTTTCTCTCCAACCAATCTACGGCTTTACTCAATTAGTTACAAAGATATGACTCTTGTCAGACACAAATTGCACAAAATTTCAAATTACAATTATTTATTTTCAGGAGAGACGAAGCGTCCGTAGTGGCATCTGGAGACTTCTGTGTTTTCGGTGAGTACCAATTTTTAGTTCCTTTTTTTGAAATACGCGCGTCTTTCGTAGTAATGCAATGAGTGAATTTACAATATTGTGATCCAATTAAATAAAGTCAAATTGCGCGTGACAATGAGGTAGATTATGTATCAGCAGATGAAATTTTTACAAATTCAAAATATTCGTACTTTATCAGCAGCCAAAGAGTTCCGAAAAGTGCAAACCAAGATTTATACAGAGATATAATAGGTTAGTGCTTCTAACCTGGAAAATGTTTGTCGTTTTTTGCTGTTTTTTTTAAATATATGCGACGCCAAAAAGTGCACAAGTATCTCAATGAGTTGATACGTTTCGTCAAATATATATTTAAGCAAGTGAAAGTTTAATTGACTTTAAGCGACAGGAGGGCTGTTAAGGAGGAGGCGGAAGTGAGAAAGGTTCTGTTCAGAGCAGTCAAATACACACGGTTTGTGGATATTTTAAAATTACTTTCCCATAACATTTCAATAGTTGCGATAAAATGACGATTTCTTCATTCTAATCCACCAATTTCTACTATTTTTTTTTCAAACAGCATGCAAATTCAATTATGTGTATAATTAATTTGATAAATATCTGTGGATTCCTGGGGACGTTGCGAGTGGTTTGTAATATTTTGTATTTTACAATTAATAAGTGTTGATGAGACTGACAATGAGAGGGTTAACAGGGATATTTGGAATATTGCTTCTTGAAGCAATTCACTGCCACATTTACTGCTAGGAAGACCCTATTTTTTGTATCGCAATTTGACGAAAATTATGAATTAACCGTCAAAACCAATTTGTTATCTAATATATTTTCAATTTATTTATTTAGCAAAATATAGAGCACAACGCCGATTAAATTCTTGCAGGTTTAAATTAAGAAATTTAATTTTGATCGCAAGTTCTAAAAGTGATAATCGGCTCTCCACAATCAAGAGGGGAATTTACAGAGGAAATAAAATCGCATAGCTACAGTTTTTCCCTTTAAATCTTTTATCACAGGTATCTTTTTCTTTGTCTGCTATTCTTGCGCTCAAATATTCTGTGGAATCAAAAATATAATTTGTGATCTGTTTGTTCTTCTCTTTTATATATACCCGAATGATATGCCGAAAAGAGAAAATTTATATTTATGCTAATCTGTAGGAATTAAAAATAATCAGTTTATTTTCAAATTACTGATGTTGTACACACTTTTATCGCATCAATTTCTTTCTTTTGAGTTTCTTTTCATATGTTTTATATATTAAAATACAAATCTGCGAAAACTAATTGTGAGTTAATTAACGTAGTAGTTAAGAGTCAGTGTGTGTTGATCAGTCGACTGGTTTTTTGTTTTTCTTTCTGTTTCCTACGCAATTATACTTAATGAATTTTATTACTTTGCTTTGAGGACCTCGTGTTGTCAAATAATCTTCAAGTTGATGGTTTTTTTCTCTCCAAAGGAGGCCTTTTTTTGTTAAGTGTGACGTTAGTTTGTTCTTGGAAATTTTTACAAGAAGAGAGATGGCGAAAATCGATCCCTCTCTCTCTCAGCTTAGGCTGACATCTTCTTCAGGCCGTTCAGTTGCTTGACCAGTGATTCTTCGCTAGGAGCAAATCTCTTCTTGATGTGGCTTTGCCCTTCCTGTAACAAGGGAAAAAGATGGTCAGGTCTAATTCGTTTTCATTCGGTTTTGTGGAAAATCAATCGGAAATAAATAAGGAAATAAAATTTGGAATAATTTCTTCTAATTGTTATGAACTTTTTAGCTGAAAGCAAGAATTTGATCTCTATATTTAGATTTTGAAGTTAAATAATTGTTTTTTTATTACTATTTAAAATTTTTACTAGAAGAGAAGCTTGTCTTCTCTTGGAAGCAAGAAATCAACTTCAGATATGAAACTTATTAAATCTATTGTCTTAAGAAAGACAAAACTAAAAAATACAATAGTCTCGCTCTTCTTGCAGGCTTTTGTTTAACAAACAACCATTATGTGTGGTTTTCTCTCCAGCCAGGTTTCCTTTTATCCGAAAATAAATCGCCCCGAGCACTTTCCAATATAATATTCCCTCCCTCGACAGACCGCGTCGGGCACATTTTTTTATCTCTGCGAGAGCGAGTTTTGCGCGAACTAGGTGAATAAAAGATGAAGCGCGTGCGTCAGAGCAGTGCGTCAGAATTAATTTCGCCTGTTGTGCAGACGTCACGCAGCACATATACTTGAATTTCTCCCTGTGCATTTTATTTGCCCTCGGGGGTTGGTTCCCATTGTTCGCTCCGCGCCTTGTCTGTTCCGACGATCTCGCGCGTTCTTTCCCCAGATTGAATTATCTTCATCATTCTCTCTGTTCTAGTTTCGCCATGCCGAGCGAGTTTCATTTCATTTCCGTGCTACTTCGCACATATAATCAAGTCATGTACGAAGCAAGTCCCTGTCGAGCGGCGGGGGTTGCAAGGATAAATTGCGACAGCGCTTGATGGGATATGAAATTACTGCTTGCTCTGCTTTGTGAAACTGCTTTCCAATAGCCTTGCAAATTCAATCTGCCCTCATCATACACATCAGCAGTGAGAGACAGAATGAGAGACGGGAGGTCGTTGACTTTTGTCAAGTGTTCCTGCACCCTTGGCTTGTTTAAACAGAGTTAACCCTTGTTTCTCTCCGCACACGTGCTCCGAAATTTGCTCGACAAGCTGTTTCAATTTAGTCGAATTAGAACATTTTTTTTTAAGAATCAGCTCGTTTGATTTATTGTTTGTATTAAAAAAATTCATCAATTTTATCAGTAATTTTTTAATACTTCTTTAAATTGGCAAAATACTTATACAAATTACGTGAAATAATCAAATATTATTATTAGAGATTTTGAGGGACAAATAATAATAAATTAATGAACGTATCAATTTAAGAACAAATATTAAAAAATTTAATTAGTTACAAAGTATAGGAAAAAATGTGATTTTATCCGAAAAAGTTTTTGTTTAAACTTAAAAAAATTGTCCAATTAATGAATATAAAATGCTACTTACATAAACTGAACAATTTTTATTTTTAAAGAAAGGCTTTTTCCTCTTCAAATCATAAAAAGTGTATTAGTCTATTTTTAAATAAATAAGCCTTTCTGATCCCTACTCGAAATCCAATTCCCGCAATCCAAAAGCCACAAACAAGAGTTTTTCATTTCCGCCTTTCATCTTTTATTCAATTCCATCACGTCGTAAATAAAGGTGATGCTCGTTCCGTCTCGCCAATGCGATGTGAAAATAAAAAAGGAGAGAAATTTCCCGGAAAATGCAATTGGAAAAATGAATCGGACGCGGCAATGACGCAAGCAGAGGCTGCAATTACTGGTCTGGGCCAAAGTGGGAGGAAAAGAGAGCAAAGGGAAAGCAGCCCAAGAAGAAGCGAGCGTGGGCGTTCTGCGTCACTCCGCAGTGGATCGATAGGGTGGGTGAATGGAGAAGAGCGCCCTGGGCCGCGGCGGCTGCCAGCCCTCGCCCTGCTGCCAATGACGTCATCGCTGAATGGGGTAGGCGGACGGATAGCATGAATGGAGCCAAGTGAATGGGGGTTGTCGGGGGCTCAAGCTTTATGGCGCCCCGCAACTCAAGTGTAAATAATTGTGCAGCTATTTTCGGCCCTCCGTGGCTCAGCCCTGTCAGCTTCGCCGGTGAAAAATGCGAAAGTCTAGCCTTCTCACAGCTTTTTTTCATATTAAAAAAGAATGGGGATTTGTGCTCGATTGCAGCCCACGCCGTTTTTCTTCTTTTTTTATTTTATCTCTCGCCCGCCTGCTCACTTTGCCAGCCCAAATGGTGTGTGTGTGCTTTGCGGGTAAACTCGCTCGCAATCTCGCCGAACAATTTTGAATGCTCCGCTGAACGAGTCAATGAAGAGAACTTTACGTATTAAATGCGGAAAAAGAAGAAGTTGTGCGCAGTTTTTCCTTTAATATCCGTGTAGTAGGAAATTTGAGGTTGATTTTACTTCCTGTTCCCAGAAGGAAAAAGGGAAAAATACATGCAAGGAATACAAGGAAAATTGAAATATTTTCACGCTTTTGCTCATTTTTCAGGTTGATTTGGAAAAAATCAACACTATATTTTATATTGTTTAAGAGTGAAATCTAATTTTGCAAAGAATTTTCGTATGGAATAAAATTTATTTTTGAACGTTTTGATTTAATACTCGGGTTGAACTCGGCGGAATTCAGAATATTTCAAGATTCTAATGCAATTACATGCAGTGAATACAAATTGTTAATAATCTTAATAAAATTCACATTAATACATTTAGCATCACTCATTATTTATTTTTATATATTCATAGGGAAGGATTGTAGATATGAATTAATTTTATTAAAAATATTAATTATACAAATGCGTTGTTAAAAATAGAAACCATCATTTTAAATAAAAAAAAGGAAAATTAGAGTTCATTGCAATTTTCGCAATTTTTATTAAAAATTATTGAAAGTATTAATTTGTTTTATTTATTTGTACAACTTTTACTTTAATTTTTATGTTTATTAACCTTAATAAGTCAAAATATTTTTTTTATTCCATAAAATGCATTAATCTTCTACGCCCCGTATTATAGTACCTACGATTTGTGTTAATTTCCGTTTATTGCAATTGTATTATTTTTATCACGCTTGCAGCGCAACATAAATGAGTTTGGTCTCACGATCTGCAGTAGGAATAAAATTGCTAAGCGGCCAATGTGAGCAATGCGAGCGCTGGAATTAAGCCGAATTCCAAGGGTCAGAAATGCGAAACGCGGGCGTGCGAGAAACGCGCCGTTGGAATTCAAAGGGCCGCGCGTGCGAAAATAAACAGCGAGGAAAGAAACGCACCTGCAAGTCCTGGATCGTGAGCAGCCTTTTGATCGCGTCGTACACCGACGAGGGATGAGCCGTGGGTTTGACCTCGGCGTGACCTTTCGGGGGACTTGGAGGTCGCAGCATGGCCACCTCTTTCTGGCCCTGGTGTGCGGGCGCCCTGGTCGCCGCGGCCAGGGCCGGGGCCACCGTGCTCGGGCTCAAGTCATTCGCCCTCTTCAGCAGTTTCAGCTGCTGCTCGTCGTTCATGTAATACTGCCAACAACAAAAACAAATGTTTGAATATTCCAATTTATAAAAATTTTATATTATTCGTTGATTAAAAATAAATTTCAACACGAGACGAATAAAAATTATGACAATTTGAAATAAATTACTTTTAAATCATCATCAATAAATTAATTGCTTCTGCTGAGTAAACCCTTTCTTCGCTTTTTCAAATTGCATGTTTTAGTATCAATTGAAGAATAAATATTAAAATAATTAATGAATAGATATTATTGAATTATTTTTGTTTCCAATTGGATTAATCCAATTAACAAGATAAATTTATAGAAGTGCCATCTCAAATTTAGCATTCCTTGGAATATTTTTATCATGATTCAATTATAAAAAAAAAATATTTAATTAATACTATTCAGTAAAAATATTAATTCCAATGTTTTTTAAATGTTTTATTATTTACTTGTTTTAATATTAAATGTTTTATATTGGGAATTTGCTCCGGACATTTTTTTAAATTTGTATTAGTGAATATAAATTTAATTTTAATTATTTTTTTTAAATTATACAAAATTTGACCATATTTTTAAGAGATTTAATTTTTCTTACCTGGTCGTAGTTGCTGTAATGAGGCTCATATGGGTAGTACTGCTCTTGCTGCTGCTGGGCAGGCTCGTGCCTGTAGAGCTGCATCAGATTCTGCATGAAGGCGTCGTTGACCTTTGACTTTTCCGCCTCGAACCAGGTCTCCTGGCCGATGGGCAGATTTGAGCCGGGTTCGTCAAAGTAGTCGTTGGGAATGGCCACCGAGTAGTCGATCTCGACGGGTTCCATGTCGTCGTAGGCAGGGTAGTAGGCTGGTTCTTGGTAGGCCGGTTGTGGGTTCGAGGGAATCGTCCGCCATGAACGCGCTTGACGCACAAATTTCGGTCGCAGCATTGTGTACGCCGCGTTGGTGTGCGCCGCCAGGAAAAGCGACACCAAAACTAGCAAAATCTCACTTGCGTTCATCTGAAAATAGAGAAGATGGAAAAAAATTAATTGGTTAGATTTAAAAATCTTGGTATAAATCAATTGTAAAGCACTTTTTAATTTTTGAGAGGTGCAAGTAACAAAATAAATCATTTTTTTATTTTGACATCCTTGATCCTCCCGCTACTGCACCTAGGAACTTATACATTAGCTTAATAGTTAAGGACGAAGTGCAGAATAGAATGAAGTTTCATTATTTTATTTGAACTAGAAGTATTTATTGTAAGCATAATTAAATTTTTTTTGTTGTGCGGGTTGCGGAAGTCTGCGCACTGCCCATCAGTGGCAAATTTAGAACTCATTTATTCAAAATCTTAAAAATTTCTTCGAAAAATTGCATTTGATCAAATTTTTTTAGTCTGGCAAGCAACTATCAGGATTTTTTTTTTAATTAGAATTTCTTCAATTTAAAATTCGGATTGATTTTATCTAGCCCAATTTAATCGCTGAAAACTTATGTGAAGTGGTAATTTAAGCTTCTTTATTCCTCTTTCTTGTCTCCTGCAATCTGCGTAATGGATGCAGAAACAAGGGGGGAAACTTTTTGCAGCAGATTTCTTCTTCTTAACTCTCAGAGAGAAATCTTTCTTTTTTTTCTGCCTCTACTCTTATCGCTCGGTGATTTGCCGAGAGAAAATTGTACGCATAAATTTCCGTCCCGGAGACGAGTCCCTGAGGACCAAGTGTATTTTTAGTCCGAGCCACTTGGCTGGTTGCTTGTGCAGATAGGTTTGTTTGTTGATTGTGCAGGTGGTTGTTATTCTCACGATTGTAATGCGCGTATACGCGTGCATGATAAATTGAGTCGCTCCCGCAGTGACGCACGAGAGCAGCACTCGGAATTATCAAGTATATATAAAATGTATAATGTACGTGGTGCACCCTAGGGAACGAATGAGTTATTGCAGGTGTGATAGCGATCCCCAGATTTGCTATTTTTAAGCATCAACCCCCGGGAAGATTGTTTAGTTTGATTGAGCAATAATTATAGTACAAGTTAAAAACAAAAAAGTCATCAATTCTCAATTATATGATGGTATATTTAAAGAATTATAAAAGTTTTGAATTTTTTTTATAAGAAGATTAAATTTTTAGTCTATTCCAATTTCATAGGTAATTATTTTGATTTTTGCAAAATTGATTTTCCTTTATCGTAAAATTATATTAATTAATTTGAGTATTTTTCAATTAATTTGCTGTTTCAACTCCTTAAAGTAAAAGCAATTTGAAGTTTCTCATATAATTTGTATAAGAAATCTCCTCGTTTTGGAATGAGCAAAAACTAAATTGATTACAAAAAAAGAACGACAAGAAAATAAACTAAAAAAAATATTATGAAATTACAAATAAATTAATGGTTTAGTTAAAAGACTTATAAATTAATTGCCCGTTGAAAGGAAATCTAGATCGCATTTTGTTTAAAGTAATCAAAAGCTATTGAAACAAGGAAAACACGCAAACCCCAAAACAGAGCAGCCCACGCGTGGTGCTTCAAAAGCGTACACATTAGAAGAGGAAACGGAGTGCGAGCCGCCGCCACCGGTAAGCAAATACCAAAGTTGAAACCTCGTCCACCCACACGCGCCTGCTGAGCCCCAAAATAGTATAGGCAACCCGCACTGCACCCCAAGCGTCAATACTTGAGAAGAGCCGTGGGGCGCAAACGCACTCAATTAAAATAAAAAACGTCCCCGTGGAAAAGATCCTAGAGATGTTAATGTAAATGAATTTCTTACTTTTACGAGTCGAAAGGGTCGAGGGCTGGAAGCAGACGATCGTCTCGTTTGAAAGTGGCAGGGGCCGACAGGTGGTGGCGAGGGTGCTGCTGTCACTACTTGAGTATCGGCTGCTGCAGAGCGCAGCCCCTATTTATAAGGTACAACAGTTTGCCGCCCACGCTGCTGAATGAAAGTTGCGCTTGCCTGAGCCGAGCTGCGACCTGATTGGTCTTCACGCCACACTGCCGAGGATCAATGCGCCCAGGCAGGCTCTCTCTCGCTCTCTCGGCGCCCGCGTGGGCAGCAATCCTCGGCTTTATCCTCCGCGCCACAGTGTTTAGCTCGTTTGTCCATTTTCAACTGATTTTCATTTCTTACAAATTGTCCCTAGTTTCCGAGAACGGCCCCAATGTGACTTTTGAGACAAATATCCAAAGGCTCAACTTCCAATTAACGTTATCGAAAAGAAAAAAATCGTTGGTTTCAGTATAATTAGTGTAAATATTTTTTTTACAGTTGGAAAAGTTACGCATTGCTCATATAGGTTTTAATTATTACGATATTGACATGATATCTTTGAGCAAATTTTTAACTTATATACTTTGTATTCTTTTAATATTTTATGCGAAGCTTAGTTGAAATGGATAAAGAACCACAGAAGGTTTTGCGTAAAATATTATTATTTAAAAAATATTATAAACAAAGTAATGCATAATAATATTATGTATGAACACCGTATTTGCCTTTTCTTGTGTCTTGCTTATTTTTTTTTTTTTTTTTTAAGAGATTAATGGATAGATGTAAATAAATTAGAGTTATGATGTACAATAGTTTTTTTCAAAGCATTTTGGATTACAATTTATTTATATCCTACATTATTATTATTGTTGTTGTTTATTTGTACAAATATTTCCAAAATACATTGTTTACATTCAATTGTTGTGAATAATTTTTTTTTTTTTCAAAAATAAAAGAAATTTTTTGACAAAACGGCACCACCACTAGCAAGAATATTGCTAAAGCATCCAAGATCAAAAAGACCCCATCCGCCTCGGTTGACTTAGTTTTTTTCTCATCTTCATTATATTGCAAAATTTTTGAATATAATGCACATTTTCATTCAATTTAGTGTCAAAAAGAATAAAAATAATTGGAATTAATTTTTCTATATTTAATTAAGAATGTCAGGGGGTGATCCTTTCTCGGATTAGAATTAGTTTGTGCGCTCAAAAATCAGCAAAAAAAATTAACTTCTTACTCTTTTTAGCCTTTTCCCATTAATCGTTTTTGATACTGTCTTAATTTAATAAATTGTGTTTAACTCAGAGATTTAAAATTCCTATTATGACTGATTTTAATATTCATGGATTAAGACGCCCATTTTGGCACAAGCTTGGTAATCCTCGACCAATTTGCTAATTGCAAACATTATTCCACGCGAGAAATTGCTCTGCGCCTTAATCCAAATGAGAGCAGCACTTGGCGAACACAAAACGAATTGTGCACTTGAAAAAAAAAAACACATCAAAGCAGCAAACAACGTCGTGTGCTGAATTATTCACGGCGGCGGCCTCTTTTATTCGGAGCTCCTCATTCGCGAAAAGCGGTCCCAATTTGGCCGACGCGCTGTGGAAAAGCGCCGCCGCTTACTTAGATGTGGTACACGCGACAACAACACGCCGCACCACGGTCTGAAAGAACAAATTGACGTCAGCAGCGGCGCGCTAATAAAGCGCTGACGTCACGACGGTACTCCAATTCTGCAAAGACCGACCAAGCGAGCGGCGAACCGTTGAGAGCAAACTTCGCGAAGCTTTTTGAATAATTACGAAGAGAGAGGATGATCAAGAAATCGAACGACTTGAGCGTGTGAGCACCAAGGGAAACCAACTGAGATGATTGCTTGACTTTCAAGTAGATAAACAATTAAAAAATTTTTAAATTACTGAACAAAAGGGTAAGATCCTCACAAACTTAAAATTTTTTTATTTACATTATAAATATGGAAAAAAGATGCTACTGTGGCGTATGGGTTTTTTAACTTTGATATTTCAGACAAATCTGTACATTTTTTTTCCATAGAGATTGTTTCCCCCTGAACAAATGAAAATTTTTCATTATAATACGCTTTGAAACGATCGAAAAATTAACTCTAATTAAAATTACAAAGGAAATTAAATTATTTAACATTATTTTATGCAAATCTGACTGAAATACCTGATTGTGGCTTATGAACCTTTTTAAGTACAGCAAACATACTTTAATCATGTTTATTGTACTGCTTAGGCTTGCTTTAAACAAGACACGAATATTTGATTGTTTTTAATTTCTTATTAAATTAAATGCTTTGAAAATAAAATAATTAATTGAATTTGTTCAGTGAATTTGCTGGAGATTTAATGTTCACGCTGGTTTACGCCATGTTTTACTTCAAATCTAATAAGTGACAATGAAAAATTTGAAGACTCTTTTAGTGCTTTCCTACCATATTTGCCTACTCGATTGTCGAAAATTTCAGCTCGGCACTTCATCAAAAGGCACTTTGCCTCAATTGATTTCCGCCGTTCGCTGCAGAGGCTGATCTGCTATGGCGGAACGCCTTAGAGTTGGCAGGTAGGCAACAAGTACGCCGCCTGTGTCACGCAGGCTGCATAACTAATTTCTAACTGCTTTGAAGTAGATGATTAGAATCGGAGCGTTTTATTCCCGAAATAGCCGCCGTTGTTTGCCACTTTTTTCGAGAGGGGCCATTTATTCGGCCGTTAACCGTTTTTGCCTCGATTCCAGCAGGTCGTGGGGGAAATTATTACAGCACTTTCGCATGCCATCTGATGGATTGCACGTAGGGTGCTATTTTTAGGCTTGGAACGGCCTTGGCGAGCGAGAGGAATGCTATTACCTCGAAACCATTATGCGGATATGAAAAATTCCTTGCCTTCTCCGTGTTAATTAATAATTTGTGTTCCTGGCAATTTTCACGTAATTTCATAATTCCGCTAATCACACAAGTGGAAGCTATTTTTGGATATAATAATTTCCTCCTCGTTTTCATCACAAGTCACGTAATCCCTCTTTACCCATGCTGGGCCGTTCAAAGGGACACACAAAAGACGAGCTTAATTTGATACTTACTTGTGTCAAATCGGCTCTCGCGCGTTTGCAGCATGTTTTCCTTATTAAGCTTCCCGCATTGAAGAGACAGGGAAAATTTTGAGCGTATGGATTACACAGTCCACTCATGTAATATTTTCCTCGTTTCAAAGCTGCTTCAAAATTAAAAATCAACGCATGACGCTTGAGTTTAATCATTAACAATTACATTTTGATAGCGCAAATAGAAGACAATTGATCAGCAAAAGAAAGCAATTTTTTTTTTAATTGTTATTTATTATTTGTCAATTGTTACATCACATTGTTTACATTCATTTGTTGAAAACAATTTATTTGAGAAAAAAAAAGGAATTGTTGGAAAAAACGACACCACCAAAAGCAAGAATTTTGCTAAAACTCCGAGATCAAAAAGACTCCATCCGCCGCCGCAGTGAGCCTCGGTTTACTTTCCTTAAGGCCTTTGTTGTCGCACAATCATAAGCCTGGCGTGCAATACATAAAATTTAGTAAATAAACACAAACCAGCTCACCATCTTCTAATTCATAGAATGCTCATGGAATCGTGCCATGAGTAATTACGATAAAGTAGTTCAATATTTAGAAAGGTTATCAAAATTTAACTGGCAAATAATTTGCCAGGCAAATATAATGTAAGAAATTTGTAGTTTTTTTATAAATATATAATATTAAAATTAAATAATTTATTGCCATTCCTTTGGTTACTGAGCATTTATTCTCTATATTAGTTTATGCTGCTTGTAATTGGTTTTGATTCGAAACAAAAGCAGGTTTAATTAAATTAATACTTGTTTTATTTTAAAAAAAACAGCACAATTCACTGTTGCAGATTACATAATTTTTTAACGATACATTATAAATGAGCTCTTAAGACTCAATTTATTTCAATTCCATTTAAAGAAGGATTTTCCTCAATTTGATCTCATTACTCTGATTATATCCCGTCCTACAAAGTTCACTAGTTTCCACTTGAATGGATAATTTCAGTGGGACATCGTTGGAAGCAGCGCCAAGTGGGAGCAGAGAACACGCTGCGCTCACTTGACACCCACGGAATTTCAACAACCGCGTGGGCGGCAGCTCACCAAACCCGGCCAACGAGCGCGGTCACCGGCACATTATGCGAGCAAAAACACGGTTCATATGCAAGGCTCAAGTTTTCGTGTCCTGAGCCAATATGGACCAAAACACACGGCTTAAGCGCATCAAAAGTCTCCTTTCTCCGAAATGTCAAAGAATTTCAGTTCATGATTCAGTCAAACTTGATGAATTATCAAACGGATTCGTCTGATAGTCTGGCACGTGGATGAACTTTTCCTACATGCGAAAACAATGCGCAGTTGACAGAAGAGGTTGAAATACTATTTTTTGCAAAAAATGCAATGTGATTAAAAAAAAAATGAAGATTGTAATTTAAATTTTTAAAGACCTGATAACTTAATAAGTTTCTCAATTTTTTTTTTATCAAATGAAAATCTCACAATTTTTATTCTTAATGTTTTACTGATGTTTTACTTACTTTTTTTTACAAATTTCTCCAACCTACGAATAGTTAATTTTAGCTTAAACACAATAAAACCGTAGATTTTAAAGTACCTGTAGCACACCGCATGTCGCCTTTTTTCGCACGTTCTTTTTTTTCTCTCACCTTATCTTTACAACAAGGAACTTCGTTTCAATTTTAAAGAAAAACGATAAAAATATGTTTGTCTAGAGAAAGAGATGTAAAAAACGCATTTGTTGAAAAACCACACTGAACTCATTCTATGACGATAAACATTGCAATTTTTATACAAGGCACATTTTTCGAACGTGTGCAAAATGAGCGTCGTTCGCAGAAAGGCCGTAAAGTATTGAATTAATGGTCCTTTCTCGGAAGTGTTTGCACCCGCCAGTGGCGTTATCAAATTTATTCCTCCCCGTTCCGCGCGCCAAATGGCCCCGTTCGCGGAAACGGCGGCGAGCGTCGAAAATTTAATTTACGTCCGTTTGATTCACGCGCTTAGCCGAACGGCACACATGTCACGCAAACATACGCAGTACGTGCTTTTGTTTCGATTTTTCCAGGTAAAAATCGTTTCAGCGCAGACAATATATTGTGCTCGGATAAAATGTCAAAGGTTATGATTGGAGCTTCAGCTTCTATCAGGAATGTAATTATACATCTGGAGCAGGTCCCAAGCGGAGGCAGGATATGAATTCGTGGGTAACTAATCTTATTTTTATACCTTCATCTCATCAGCGAGGAAAGAACAGAAGGTAGAACTTTCTGGAAATGATGGAAGTATTAAGATTTTATGGAAAAAAGAAGGATCATTGAAATATTTTTGTAAAAAATGTTTTTCATATCACATTCTGTATCAAAATTTTTCAAGCATACCGTAATATCAACGCTCTTATCAATTTCAATTCGTTTATTCTCTCACAACAGGTCAAGGTCATTATTATTATTATTTTTTAGGGGAAAAATTACATTGAGGAGAGAATTGGCAGCCAGCCCTAGTAAAGAACTTATTATTACTCATAAGCATAATTTGAAAGCAAAAGTGTTTCCAAATTAAACCTTCTTGCCGAGGTGGAGCCGGAAAGGTAAAAAAAAAAAACAGTCAGATATTCTTTACATGCAATTTGAATACCAGGAACCGTACAAATTTTTTAACGCATTTGGCAGGGAATTCCACTGATTCGCGTTTTGAATTGTACAACTCATTGTTGGGATATTCAACAATAATGACATAGGTCGTCCGAAGCCGCTTACTTAGTGTCCAGTTACACACCTTAATCACAATCCACGCAGCCCGAAAATGTCGGCAGTATCAAAAATACATGGCATGGCAACAGGCTCGGCCCGTTGAGTTCGCCCACGCGGCCACCGTACTGTGCTAGAAACGTGATCTTCTAATAGCTCGGAAAAGATGGGAAAATAACGACTCGATTCTGGGAACTGGTCGCAGATGAAACTAATATGAGGCTGCATCTCCCCGTAATTTGGGCCGGCAACCAAGGCCGTACAAAATTATTTTTAACTCCAAGGAAAGAATGGACGTAATTTATGTAAATTTAACATTTTAAATAAAAAAAACATTTTTAACGATTAATTGTATGGACAAATACAAATTAAGAGTAGAGAAGTAAAAAATATGGATTGATACAAAGATACAAAATAAATTCATGGGCATATTTGAATAATAAAAACCTACAGCATCAGTCTATAAATATAACAATTTTGAATTAAAAAGTTTAAAAAAGTAAATCATTACTATTTCAATGTGAATTGCATCGTTCAAACTGGTTCAAACTTCCAATAAATGCATCATACTTTTTTAGAACAAATTTTTCTCCCTGCATCCTATGTGTCTATTCATTATAAACTTCGCCTTTCTTGAATTTACCTTTATTATATATGTCTGTTTTTATTTCATTCACTTAAGAGAAAAATGAAAACAAAAAGTTAAAATTCCTAGCTATTCAGCGTAGAAAAATGAAACCATTTTTATCATTTGATCAATTTTAACGCTTACTTAAGCACATGGTTGCTGCAATGCCGGCTTTCCTGTTGGTTGTGCCACCCTCTCATTCACCTCTTCAGCTGCATGTAGCGTATAATAAAAAATATTCCTATGAAAGAACACCCACGCCGTTGATATTGAACCCCGATGTGCAGGCATCGCGTGGGCTTTGCAAACACAGCCGTGACACACAAAAGCCACGCCGATTCGTCTTGTGTGGAGCAATCTTTTTGCGGCGCTTTACTTATTGCAGAAATATATAAATAAATTAAACTCATTTTTATCGGTCGTAAAATGAAGGGTCGACGGCGCTTTATTGAATGCACACTCTCTCAGCAACATGGCAGATAAATTCTATTTAATACACCGCGCAGCAGGACACAAAAATAAAATGTAAATGCTCTAATGTTCGTATGGTAATGTGGCTCTTCACATATTTTTTTTTTAATAATATTTGTCTGATAATTTTATAGGAATATATATATGATTTTTTAAATATTCAATAATAGTCTCCATCGAAAGTTGGAGAGTTTAGTAACCGAAGTCGAATCCCTTTTTGGCGGCAATGGGAAGTTTGTCCCCGGCCAAAAACGGGTTGTGATCGTCCTTGCTCGGAGATCCCTTTTTAGCCACCATGCTCTTGTGGTCGTTGTCAATCTGCACATCGTTTTTAGTTTAGAATTTTCTAAGGAGAAAATTTGAGATTTTCAACCTTAAATTTGTGCATCATTTGGTCCAAGCGATGATCGTCCCGTGACAGCGCCCTGGTCACAGAGCTCTCCATGGAGCAGTCAAACATGTGTTCCGTGTCGCACATGCAATCCTGAGACGCCTGGTAGTTGCGAGAAAATGAAGCCGTGTTCTCAAATTCACTCAGACATCCCTCTGCAAAATATCCGAAAAATATTTAGGTTCAAGAAATGTTTATTGGGTTCGAATTTAGGGCAACTATGCCCCATACATGAACTCATCCAAATAAATGACAAAAAACGAAAATTTTAAAACAAGAGAGAGAGAAAACATTAGTATTGCTCAAAATATTGCTTTTTCAGTACCGATTTAAAAAAATTAACATTTTCATTCAAACATAGATTTGATGAATTTTAATTTTAAATTAGATTAATTTAACAATTTGAACAATTTCTTTTATTTCATGAGTTCCATACTAATAATTGATAAGGTAAAAAAATAGGGTTACTTTAACTATTCCAGTTAAAATATTAATAAACAATGAGGGAAATCTGTAAATTTAAATACAAATTTATTTTAATAAATTTTATAAATTGAAACATTTCTTTTCAATTTATATATATTAATTATGAATATTAATATTTAAACAATATTTTTTTTACAAAATTACAGAAATAACTTTTTCAGCCGATTTGCATGATTTTGGCTCGAATATTTTGTACCTACCATTGTATCCAATTGGGCAGGGGTTGGGCGGGTTGCAGTAAGCCGGTAGCACGGCGTCCGTTTTGATCTGCTTCTGGTTCTTGATGGTTCCGTCAGGCTTGAGCCGCTGCTTTCCCTCGCCGGCGCCGCCTGTCACGAATTGGTGTCCCCAGAGAGAACTGTGTTGCATGAACTCCTGGTCGCGCAGGCTGGGCGGCTGCTGGTCCAGCGAGCCCAAAATCGGGCCGTAATCACCCATCATCTGGTCCTCGTTATTCAAGTCTTTCAACGCCTGATTCTGCAGCTCCATTTCTGGATCCATCCTGTAGATTTTATTTAAAAAAATGATTTATACTGAAAATTATTTCTAAGGCCAAAGAAAAAATTGTTTTATTAAAATAATAAAAGTAAATAAGTTAAATTTTTCATTACTTTTATAATGACGTATCAGCAAGAAATAAAATATAAATTGTAATTTGACTAGAGGAGTTTAAATAGGTTTTCTTGGAATTTGTTCTAACAATAAGCCAAGGGCCTCTTGTTAACAGCTGGTCTAGAATTAGATGACCTACTGGTCTAATTATTCTGCTCCAAAAACTCCCTCCGTCGTTAAAGGTACTCTTATTAAATCGAGTTAATTACAGTACGCGAACCCAATTTCAGCTCCACATGAGATAGATCATTAGGCCACCAGTTGCGCAGATGTGGCGTGCCAGTTGCCTATCATATCAGTGTTTAATCGCCCCTATGCGGGTATTGATTTTTCTTTGAACTTCATTTAAAGTTCAATAAACGCGCGCTACTTTAGATATTATTAAAAAATATATCATATTCTTGAAAAAAATAAATAATTCTAGTACCAAAATGGACTGTGAATCCAAATTAGAACAATTTTAAGTACGGTTAAAATTGTTCAAAATTTCTTTACCTTGATCCGACCGGGAATTGCATTCCGTAGGACCCTGAGTTGGTCAGGTCCTTAGCCATCTGGTCCATGACCTCCCTGAGCAGGGCGTCGGTGATCCTCGGCTCATGCTGTCGACAAAAATGCAATTCAAAATCTCAGCGAATTGCAACAGACGCGCAATATATTGCTGCGGTCAACCCTGAAGATTCTCTCACCTTGAGGTGATGTGGGTTGTACGAGCTAACCTTGCCGACGACCACGAAAAGTGCAAGGAAGAGGACAGAGGCCATGTTTGGATGTTTTCGGCCCCGATTTGAGTGCCTCAGTAATCCAGCCCCGTGTTGTGGAAACGGAATATGGAGGCGGCTCGGAACTATTGATCGGCGGAAAGAACCAAGTGCCACGCAACAGCTACATCACCATCTCTTGGTCGCACCCTGCATTTCACTTATTCCCTTGCCCATTTTCACAGTCCAGAAGTAATTACGATTTTTTTTTCAAGTTAATTAACATGGAACACTTTTATTATATCTGTTTATTTTTATTTAGAGTTTAAAAAAATTATATTATTGAATTGTGGGAAAAACAATTGCAAAGGTTTGCTAAACAGGATGGATAAATTAAAGACAGGACATAATTACTGCAATTCTATTTTTCTTCGGATTCACTGCCACTTTTCTCTTCAGCACTGTCATTTTCGCAATGCTGGATGCGAATTTCAGGCGCCGCACCAGACGCTTTGCGGGCGCTTTTCCACGAAGGAATTTGCTTTCTTTGCAATATTTCGCCGTCTTCGAAGCTCAATTCGTCCGCCTCTGTGGCCAGAAGGTCACGACTGGAGGCCACTTTGCAGCGCAGGAGGCCCAACTCGTATCTTATCGCGGCAATTTGCTCCTTCTGTGTCAAAACAAGCTCATTCATCCGTCGCACTTCGCATCGCCGCTCGTTTAATCCTGCTCGGTTGCAGTTTTTCTACGTAAGAATAAATAAATTTTTAAGTGTTTGATGCTTCAGTGTATAATTTGTTGGCCAATTAGTGAATGAGTGGAAACAATATGCATACGTGTTTTGAATTATCGGAAGAGTTCTTAGAATTAATTTCCTTCAACAACTCAGCCAGTTCTTGAGATTTTTTCGTTTTTTCTTCAGTGTCCTTCACAATTTCTCCTTTTATTTTCTGAATTTCAACCTGTTTTGTTTCCTATTAATTTTTTTTATGATATTAAGAAAATAAATTATATTACGTATACCTCCAATTTTTTACAAAACTGAATTTCTGATTGCTCAATTTCACTGTAGGCAGGTTTTGTGAAATTTTCTATTTCGCATCCTAAAAGTGTCTGCTCAAGCTCAACAATATCTACAATCTTGAAGGAATTAATTAATATAAATCAATTAACTGAAATTAAATTGTAATAAAAATAAAAATTAATTGCAATTAAAGAAAATAAATTTTATGTTATGATCAAAATCAATTTTGTTTTTGGAAGCATTTTTTATTGGAAATCAATAATTTCATTTAGTCTTACAATTAGATCGATGTTTAAAATATTTTGAGAAAATCACTAAACAATTATTTCATTAATTAAAAAAAAGATTCATGAAACTTAATGTAAAAATTTTATATTTTCTAATGAGTACCTTTCCAAATCTCTGGATCATGGTCTCCTCCATTTTTGCTTTCAATTGATTAATTTCCTCTTCGATCGCCTTCGTCTTTCCTTTGATGTCTTTCAAAACACCTACGTCTTGCCTTTTTGCGTTTTTCAAAATGATAGTCAAAAGGTTATGCGTGGGTATTTCGACTCACTGATATTGCGAATCCAAATCGGCCGCTTCAGCCTGCAGCTCGCCACTCCTGGCGCCGAGTTTATTCATCGTGCTCAGCGATATCAGCACACACTTTGAGAAATCCTCTCCAGCCGGTATCTGATGCAGCTTCAAAGGCACCGCGATCTGCAACTCGTTTATTTTCGACTGCCTTTCACGCTTTAAAAAAATTTATTAAATTCAATAATTAATAAAATATTATGTATTAAATAATTAATATGTTCAATTTTACATAGAAGTTGTCAATGTTAGCATTGATGCATTTTATATTTTTCTGCGCCAATTTGATTTTCTTTTTCAGAACATCCTCGTCTTTCAGCATCAAACTCAAAATACGGTTGCTTTCCATCAGCCTCAACTCAATCTCGTACCTAAAAAACCAGAAAAATGCAATATTTGTTTATTTTGGATCAAAAAATCTAATATTTTTCTTAATGGAAATTATTGATTTATTTGTAACTATTAACCTTAATAATCGGCATTGATTAACATAGTCAAACAACTCCGGATCACACCCCGAGGGACAGATTTTTTCACTCACGCCCTTACTGCTCGAGCCTGCACTGCTAGTGCCGCTTCGATTCTCTTCCGAGCCTTCTGTCACTGAGCCTTTTGAATAAGTTTCATTTTTAATTCCATTTATTTTTTGTTTTATATTTTTAAATTACTGGCAATGCTCAGTGAAGGTGGTCTGTACTCTTTTTTGTACAAAAGCATCAGATGTTCGTAAAAAACGGTGCCATCCACTGCAGAGTTAACGTCCTCTTCCAACTTATTTATTTGTTCCTCAAAAGATTCCACCTCCTCTCTGCATTTTTCCAAATTTCCTTGGAGAGCCAACATCTATTATTTAAATATTAATTTTTTTACTAACACTTTATTTTGTTCACATTTTCTTGAAGAGATTTTTCGGTTGTTTCCTCTTCCAGTAGTGAAACTTTTAGCTCTGTCCGCTTATCCTCGCTGTGCAAAATTATGTCTCGCTTTTGGTCGTTCAGAAAGTTCCATTGTTTCAAGAGGCAATTGTTGACATCGCTCTTCAATCTTTCCTCAATCAGACTTCTAACTTTTGCGTCATAATTTGTAACCATCGTCATGATTTCCTCAGAGCTAAAAATAATAATTAGTGCGAAATTAACAAATTATTTTTCCTTTAATCTTCTATACCTCTATACCTTTTAATTACGTTCTGCTTGAGAAAATTCTCGTTGAAAATATTTCCCGTGCATAGCTTTAATTATAAACATGTTCAAACATAATAAGATTTGATTTTATAAATTCTTGAATAATTACTTGATATAAATAATCATCCAGTTCCTCTTCTCTAGCAAGGAACAACCTTTCGGTATCTAGAAATCCATGCGAATTTTCTATTTCTGTCATGATTTGCTGCCGCTCTCTTTTCAAATGAACCAATTTTTTGTTGAATCGAAATTTCACATTGAAAATCTGTGTGAAAAAATATTTAATGTGTGTATTTTTTCTTTCTTAAATTGATACCATAATCCTGGTTGAAGCAATCAAGTCTTGAATTTCCTTCAAACCAATTCGTTCATCTTCTGGTACAGAATAGCCAGCGTCTGTTTTCAACTTATAAACACCCATAGCCTCCTCACTTATATTTAAATCTAAATGCCTTAATGTTGGTTTTCTTTTTATCAAATCCTCCAGCTTGAAATAAGTAAATAATCAATCATAATCAACCATTCTTCTGCATTACCATTTTATTGTCTAGATTTCGCTGGAGTTGCCGTTTCTTTAATTTTTCAGCCACTTGATTGGCGGTCGACACACTTTTTCGTTGTTGCCCGAACGTTGAAATCTCAGCTCTCTCGTCTTCTGCAGTCGCTGTGTTTGGAGAAAATAGTCCAAAATCTGACTTTTTCCTAAATCATTAATTGCAAGTTACAGAGGTTCAAATAATTATAATCCATTACCTTAATTCGATGGCAGGTTTTGGAATTAACGCTTTAGAAGAAATTTCAAAAGATTTCACTTTGTTATCAGATTTTATATGTTTTGCAACCAAATATCCTTCAACAAAGCAATCCTCTCTATAAAGTTGAAAGTTTTAAGTTTATTTTTTATTTTTCTTACAACAAATCTAACCCAATTCCGGAAATTTTTAAGCTCGTGGACTGAAGAGGCTGCAGAAATTGCGCGAAAACTTTTTTCCATTCATCACGTTTCAGATATACTCTCGGTTGAACCAAATCTACATTTTTTTACCATATAATTTGTTTATAAATTTTAAATTTTAACTTTTGTACCCAATAAACTGCTTTTTATGCATTTTACTTTTTCGTCAAAAAACTTCTGCATCACTGAATGCATGGTCAGGCCTTTATTTTCAAGCCTAAAACATTCAAATTTAATTTTTTAATTATCAAATATTTAACCATTTATACTTTATTTGCTGATATTCATCTCTCAGCACTGCCATGTCTTTGAGAATAAGCTCCTTGCTTTCCGCAATCGCAACGGAAATTCTTTTCTCCGCCTTCTGGCGCCGAACCTTTTCAATCGAAAGCGTGCAATTTTTAGCCGAGACTCCTCTTGGTTTGCAATTCACCTGTCAAAACAATTTCAATACGTCACTCTCAGAACGCAGCAAAAAACTGTGATATTTTTCACAGCCTCATTTCTCACAATAACACGGCGCTTGCTGATTGATCGGGCGTCTGTTTTGTTTGCTGATGCGATTTTGTACATAAAAATGCTGCCGTCGGCTCCAGAGCTGAAAATGTAACAGCCGTCATGGCTGAATCCGACTGCCGACACTTGACAGCCCCGCTCACTTTCATGCATGCGAATGCGCCAAAATCGGGCCCACATTTGTTGTTGTTTTTCATTATTGTCAAGAGCAGAAGTGTTGAATTGAATCTCCCCCGTCTCGAATCCCATTACGCAGCTCAATTCATCACTACTGTAAAAAGAAATAAACAAAAATGTAATAAAATAATTAACTTCTTTAGAAGTGAAGAACTTGGGCTTTTCCCTCGTAATTTTTTTTTTATATTCATAAACAAGACGACTTGGAAAAACAACTTTTTACAACGAGGTAAAAGCTCAAGTTCTTCACTTTCATGATCGTCTACTCAAGTGTCAATTTATTTAAAAAAGAAAATTTAAAATCATCTCATCAATTATTTTAAAAGTGTGCAATTAAAATAGCATTAAAGTCATGGTAGCTGATTTTACTTCTTATATAATAAAATTTGTTAACAATCCCATAAATTATTCAAAATAAATGAAAAACGAGACTGAAAAAATAAAATAGATCTTTATTTTATATTTTAATAATATTAACACGCTTTTCTGAAAAGTATGCATTTTGATTTACCTTACACAAGCACAAGTCAGTCGCAGTTTTGTTGTGATCCTCTTTAATTCAACAAAGCTTTTGTCTTCCACGTCAAATTTAACAATGATCAGCAGTGATTCCGTCTGGGCAAATAAAACTAATTCGTTTCTTCCTCTGAGTTCAGAGTGCATAATTTTCAAACCTAGATTTTGTGATCAGTTGAAGATAAAAATAACCAAAACGTTATATTACCTCGAGCATCCTTGATTTCTATGATTTTCTCAAAATCAGGTTGATTTTTTAGCCTGAATGTTGAATCAGGGTCTTCTAAATGAAACCCGTCTTGAAAGGAATAACCAGTAATTTGGCCTTTTTCACCGCAAATAATTATTTTTTCTTCGCTCTGAAATTATTAATTAAAAAATTATAGACTTATTTGATGAGCGGATATAATAGAATTTGAAAACCATACTGTGAAAAAAGCCGTCAAGATATTAAAATCGATATGAATTGAGCCGACTGGAATTAATCTCATTGTTGGCTCATAATCGACGGTGATCAGGAAAATGGTGTGGTCCTCGCTTACAGAAACCAACGTTTTTGCTTCTGGGCTGAAGATGACGCGAGTTACTGGTTTCTCGTGAGGTCTGATTCCCTCAATTTCAACAATATTTTCCGTCCCCCAATCCAAGAAGCACAAACTCAGCGAACCGTTTTCGAAACCGATTATTACAATTAAATTTGAACACTGAAAAAAAGACGCTCAAACGTTATTTTTCATCAAAAACAAGAAATCATTAATGCACTTCCTGAGGAAACCAAGCAATGCTGCTAATTTCAATTTCGAAACTTTTTTCCAAAATTGCACCGTCATCATAATTATGAAACAAAACCTTCCCATTTGGTCCTGCAGAGGCAAAGAATGGCCCAAATGGACTAATTGCCAAGCTAATCACTCCTCCTCCGTGGCACCTAATTAATTTAAATTTAATTAATTTATATTTTTTTTCCAAAGGATCAATTTGATTTAAAAATCTCATATAAACTAAAACTAAAACTTTAATATATTTTTTACTTTAGCAATTGTTTGCATGTTGATGGTGCTTGTTCCAAACCCGCCAAAGTAGGACCAACATCAGCCAGCCAAATAGCTCCCAAACCATCCTGTTTTTTTTTTTTCATTAGATGCATTAAAATCGCTTTTCACATTTCAATTTATTAAAACCTGGAGGAGCCAAACGAGTCCACTCGGCTGAGAGGGAAGCTCGACTTTGCTCAGAATGCTGCTCTGCTCGCCTATGGTGAAATAAACCACCGATTCACTTTTGTAGATGAGCCGATCATTTTGCTCGCAAGAGGAAACTTTTTTCAAGTCCCAAGCTCGTACCCAACCGTCCGTGCCTATTGGGAAAATGTGCATTGTGAGCTTTTCGATGAATAAATATACAAAAAAATATCGTTTTCTTTCAATGCTACATAATCGTGTGCGTGGGAACGTGAATTGCAATTGAGAGTGGAAAACAAAGTTTTGTGTAATGACCTATTGAGATGAGCCACGCGTTGTGCATGTGAAAGGCGAGCACGGGTCCCTGGTGACACGTGACCGGCCTTCTCGTGGTCACTTCAAAACTCAGCTCGTTGTTTGCCCAGACGAGTATGTTGCCCCACTGACATCCACTCGCGACCTGTCATAAACATAGCATTTGCGAAACGCCATCAGTTGTCGAGACTGAAATTTTTTGCGCTTCATGAAAAAACCAACCTTGCCGTCATCTAGGAACTCAAAACCGACTGTGTTTGACATTTCGCAGGAACCAAATTTGCCGATTTCGAATGATAACTTCCGTCCAGTGAAGGTTTTAGCAGACTGCCAAAATTTTATATGCCCATCACCTAAAGATTTTGAAAAAAAAAAAAAATGTAACAAACCATACTTTTAATTAATTTTTTCAGTTATATTTAAATAAATTTGGATGTAATTCCAAGAAAATTATATTCAAGTATTTTCCTTTATTATAATAAAAATTCTGTAATTATTATTTCATATTATATGTTATTGTTTAAAGTTTACCTCCAGAAACAATCACGTCAGGCTGAAGTTTAGAAAAAGCCGCTTTGTACACCGGCCGGTTCGCCGCTTCCGTCTTGACCAGCATAACTGAATTTTCCCAGTCCCAGAGCGCCAGGGTATAATCAGGCGCGGCTCCCAGCGAGCACAGAATTGTTCCGTCGGTACTTTTTTTGCAGTCAAATAAAACTTAATTAGCTTTCATGTTTATTTAATTTCCATACTTGTAATCGAGGTAAGAGTAGGATTTCTCAGTTCCATTTGTCAATACACTGACCACGTCCAGTTTTGGCCACGTCAAAATATAAATACTCGGCTTATTTCCACGCTCGCCAACTGCCAAATGGTTGTGAATGTGATTGGCCTGGAAATTTAATTGGAAATAATGCATCAGTGAGTAATTTTAATTTTGTCGAAGGCTTACAGTAATGTGGCCGATACCAGTACACCGCACACTTCTTTGCAACCTAATTTTGCCGGTTTGGGTGTCCAGGAAGTGGATTATGTTTCCAGAGACATATATTACAGTGTTTTCAATCGCACACAAATTGTGCAATTTTATGCTGTCGTAGCCAAAGGATTTTCTATAAATTTTACTAAGGAAAATATTGACCTGAAAACTTGTACTTAGAGCAAAGTAAGACTAGTTGCATCAAGTTTTTGCGAAGGATACGTCAATGATATGCAATTTACCATCCCTTCATCACTGACCACGGGCTCACGGCAAATCTCTTTGATGTTTTTAGCCGACTTACAAACAATATTTTGCACTATTAGGTCCATTTTGGTGTGTTAATGTTTATCGAAACGTGTATTGTGGACAAAATTATAAGTTCAAGGCGCGGAGTGTATCGTTGCCTTGGTTACGCCGTTACTGAATTGAATAAGCTTATAAAAGAAGCCAGTAGTATTTATAATCGATGTATAAATTTATCACACCTTTTACGCAAAGTATTAAAAATTAAAGTTTGCCTCTCTAAAATGTAATTTTTGTAATTTTTGCCGTTTAAAAGTTGTGGAAGTATCTTTCTTTGTCCTGAATTTTTGGTTTTACAAGAGATTTATTTAAGAAATAGTTTCTGGTGGGAGAAATAGGCACTCCGACCATACATTTCGAGTTTCTTGACAACAATTAATCGTAAAAGACAGTACAATATATACAATATATGTACATTGTAACAAATTTGATAGATTTGTTACAAACCAAACATTTCGTTTGGTATGTATCAGATCAGGAACACGCATTTTGTAAACTTTACACATTTCTATTTTTAAACTCTCAAAGAAAAGGACGAAAACACGTATCGTGGTTTATCTAATACTAAATTTATACTTCCTGAGGCTGTGTGGGGTGCCTTTTGGCACACGCGCAGCGGGCGAAATTATTTTTATATGTTTCGCAAACCCCTCAATCTCACTGAAGTATCCTTTCTGAGCAGACGGACAATGGGTGAAAGGGAAAGAATGAACGATGATAGAACGGACTCCGTTGTAAGTACTTCTGTGCCTAAATTCAAATTTTACAATAATAATTAAAGAAATGAATGAATCGGGCTTTTTCCTCGTTGCAGAATTTTTAAAATTTAAAACAAAACGGCTTCTTTATTAATAAAAACAATTTCTGCAACGAAGAAAAAAAAACCCGATTCATTCATTTCCACGGTTATCTCCTCGAGTGTCAACTTCTTCAAAAAAAAAAAAAAATAATAATTAACCTTTTTTTATTGTAGCTTATCATTTTTTTTTTAATTGGTGCCAAAAACCACATTTTGTTTTTCAAAATCTTAGAACTATAATATCTTGAACCTATCAGGAATCTTTTATAAAAAAGGTTTGAAATGAATTTGTTAAATTTAAAATTTTGAATTTTTTGTTTAAGATGTGTTTTTATTTGCTGATTTTTTTTTGTATTTTTACTTTTAATGATGGAGGGTCGCAGACCGTGACCAAAACCGGTAGAGCCATTTTTTACAATGTAGAAAAAGCCGAGTTTGCCACTTCCAAAAACTTAGTTGCGCATTATTTGATTCCAGCAATCATCATCTTGGTAGTCAAAAAAAAAATGAATAATAAATTATTCATTCAAAAGAGAAAACCATTTGGAACTGAATAAACTTTCATTAAACCAAACCATTTTAAATTTGCAATTATTTATCCAGTGTAAAGTTTTAAAACAAATTTTTGTGTCTACCCCCAGTTGCCTGATGACTCTACGGCCCCTGAGGTTGGAGCACCGCAATCTTCGCCGTCAGAACGTTCCTTTTTTCTGTAATTTTACACACTTTAAATGTTAAGCCATTTTCTGATGTAATCTTGATGTCAACTTTATAGAAAAGAAGAGAGTGGAAAGTTCCAGTCTTTTGAGTTCATCAGGCAGGAAAACGCCAAAATATATCTATCTACTCCAGTAAGATCAGGAGCAGGACCATCAGATGAATGCAATCGTCTTTTCCAATCAAGTGAATTTGAGGATTTAAGCTCAATTATTCCCTCCCCCGGTGCAGCGCCTGTCGCTGAGAATGAGCAAATCGCCAACGTATCTGAAGAGCACGGAAACATAACAGGAGAGGGTCCAAATCAAATAGACGACATTTTACACGCACAAGATTTGCTGGCCGCAACTCTCTATCAAAGAATAGAGGATATGAAATTAATAATTCAAAACTATTTGCAACAAAAGCAAATTATACCAGCAGAAAACAAATATTTGGGGACAAGTTCCCTGCATGTTGCGGCTAAAGGTAATTTCGTCGAAGGAATAGATTTGTTTTTAAGCCGTGGTGCCCACATAGATAAAACCGACAAAAATGGTTTCACGCCGCTCCATGATGCTGCAATGCAAAAATGCACAGACGCGGTCGAGTTTTTGATCTCCAAAGGGGCCGATTTGAAGGCAATCGCAGGGAAGAGTCGGACGACGGCTTTGGAATTGGTTCTCAGAAAAACTCCAAAAGCCAAAAACGCTATTAAAAAAAGGCTTGACGCGTCGATCGCTATAAATGATCGAGTTGAAAATAGTTCGAAAGTCACATTAGATTTTGACCTGAGTCCGTGGGAAAGCAAAAATGTTACTCTTCTTCATGTATTTTCACAATACAACGTATTAGACCACCCTGTAATACAGGTGCTGATTGAGGAGAACTGGACGCGGGTTCGAGTATGTTTCTTTATACGATTGTTTTTTTGCATTGCCTTTCTCGTCTCTTTGGTCGCGTATTGCCTACTACCAAACAAATACACCGGTTACATCATTCTATTTTTCGCCTGCTGTGATTTTGTCTGGGAAATTGGATCCTTTGTGACTTTCACACGTAGTACAGATGCAGGCTATTTTATGAAAAACTTATACCAACATGTAACTTCGTTTGCAAACTATATTAGCTGGTTTTGTTATATTTCAGCTTTTGTTATCTGGCTCGGAGATGACGATTATTTAAAAATTAAACTCGCACCACTCGTTTGTTTGGCTTCCTGGTTCAAATTGATTTCGTACATAGACCACCTTGAATATTTCTCCCTTTACAACAGCATGTATTACAACGTGATGATTTCATTTGGAAAAGTGTCCATTGCATTTTCTTTCTACTTTTTGGGCTTTGTGTTTTGCTTTTGGAATTATTTTGGGTCGAATAAGGTTGAATTTGAAAATTTAGCGTTTGCCGCTTTAAAAGTAATTGGCATGATTGCGGGTGAGATCGATTATGGAGGTTTGATGGCTTCATCTAACACTGTTAACACTGCATCTAACAATACTGCCGAAAGCCCTGAAAAGCATACAATGTTCCTTGGAATCGTCGTTGCCGAACTTTTTCCCAGAGTTTGCGTTGCGATTTTCGTTGTATCAGTGCCTATCGTTTTGATGAATTTGCTGACTGGAATTGTTGTTGGGGATATCAATGAAATGAGAAACGCTGCTAATTCAAGCCAAATCAAGCGTAGAGTAGATATCATCAAGCACATCTCTGCTTTCATATCAAATCTTCCATTTAATTGTTGTGAGCGAGAAAGGCCTGAAAATGTTGAACGTGAATATGATTTTGAAGATAGCAGCATGCCGGATTATTTGCACACTGCCTATGAAATCGCCAGAAGCAATAAACACGTTAATCAAACAAATTTTCACGCAGAGACCAATGCCGGAATGGGGCGAGGCCCACAGGGCGATATCATTGAGGAAGCGCAGCCCAGTTCAGCGGCGCAGTCCACCATTTCCCATAAGATAAATGTTGAATTGACGAGCCGCAGCCCATCGGGGTTGGGCCCGACTGCCCCAGCACCCAATCTGGCAGAGACTACGGTGTAGCCTAAAATAATATGTATAAAAAGAAATATTCAGTTACTGTTGAATTCATTTAATTTTTTTTTTTATGTCTTTGTCTACAGAAATATACATACGAATGTTATAAGTAAACGTAAAATTTAATAATAGGTATAATATTGTACGTTACGACGGTTGTATTACTTAAATTTACTGAAAAATGTGTTTTTTTTTATTTATATAAATATTGCAGAGCATTCATCAAACAACCCACATTTTTATGACATTTCTTGGCGAAAATGGCCTAAAATAATTTCCTCAAAGTAATAAAATTTCAAGAAAGGATTCGTTTGTAATTTTTTCCAATTAAAATAAAATTTGTGTGAGATTTACTATAAAAAAATTGTTTCTTAAGAAAAAAGTAGATATCAATATGCCTATTTTTTGTGATCATAACTAATATGTATTGATCTTTATTGACTTATAAGGCATCAACAAGATGTAATGACTTATTGCGACTCGTCTCATTTGCAACATAGTGCAAAAAAAAAAAGAAAAAGAGTAATACACGACAAAAATATTACAAATGCATTAAAAATTAAAAAAAAACTTTTTGCTATGAAAGTTATGCGAGTGAACAAGTCGCCTCAAACTAGCTTTAAAAATCTTCTTAGAAATTAACAATGTCTGGGCATTTTGCCGACACGCTCATAGCCCTTGCCTGATAATCATCAACTTCTCTCTTTTTTTAATAGTGCGGATATTTAAAATCAAACTTACTGATTCAGAGATAAATTTGAAATAAAAAAATATACAAAAAAAAAATAAAGGAAGGGGGTCGAACCGAGCGAAGAGCGGCCTCGCAGAACAAAGCGGCTCTGTACTGTTCCAACATATATGCATGATATCAATAAATGTGCTTTTCACTTTATAACCACAAAAATTTGGTTTTCATTCATCATTCAAAAATTGTTTTTATAAATAGAACTCAACTCGCGTCAAACAACCAACCTATTTATGATGTGTTTATTTTTTGGCAAGGCTAAAAAGTCTTGGTCTTTAATTGAGAGGGCCACGTGCGTTTCCCTTTTTAGTGGTTTTTAAACCGCCTCACGCTATATTTTTAGCACACATCCCTTCTGAGCCCGCAGACTCTCACGCAGTGGGGTCGTAAATGTTGTAAATAATTTCTTTTTTAACAGGAGAGTTTGTTTCCTTGAAAGATACGTCGATGAATCCAAACTCTTGATGACGGCAAACTCCAGTGAAGTATGTAAATAATTTACTTTTCAATAAATCTAAATGCAAATAGTAAATAATGCTTATTGTCAGTCAATTATAGCATTATTGGCATTGTAATTTGGAGAGGGTCAAATCAAGCGGTGGACGAGGTTTTTCTGGCGCAGAAAAAAGTGGCGAGAGCTCTTGCGGGTGAGCGGTATTGGCGCAGTACAGACGTACAGAGCCTCTTTGTTCTGCAATGCCGCCCGGTTCGACTTTCTTCCGGTTTTTAAAATAACCTCTTTGAATCATGGAGGTTTGTTCTTAAATATTCGCAATATTATCAAAAAATAAGTGCTGTTCATGATTATCTGACAAGGGCTAAAGAGTGATTTTTGTATGTTCCTGCTCAAACTTTGTTCATTTCGAAGCAGAAGTAGCAGAACCCTTTGACCTTTTTCGATTCGCTTGGAGCCTCGATACAAGATTTTTTAAACTAGTTTGAGGCGCTTTGTTCATTCCCATAAATTTTATAGCAAAGAGTTTTTTTCTTCAAGTTATTGATGAATAGTAATATTTTTTTACTTGTTTTGTACCGTGTTGCAAATGGGGCGCAACGCAACGAGTCATTAACATCGTGGTGACGCCTCATAAGTAACAAAATATTAATAATAATTATAATTAGAGAAAGTAACAAAATATTATTTTCAAAGAAAAAAATAATGTAAATTAAAATATGTAAATTCTGTTTCGCTTCGAATTTCGAATAATAAATAATTAATTCCAAATGTTATCAACGAAGATAAAGCCAAAATGATTTATTCAATTAAATTGTGTAAACATTTTTCATGCCGATTTTCCTCGTGGCCATAGTCCGAGCAAATTCGAGAGTGACCCAGAGGTTATCATAACCCCGTTTTGCCAACGACAGAGGAAATAAATTATTTCTTGTTTAAATGTCTGCTGTCTGCTCATTAAAATGATTTTGGCTGGCTTCAATGAAAATAAAATTACTGCAAATTTAAATCGGCTTGGATTATATTTTAATTTTGTGCAGAACAACCCCGTACATGCTAGCTATCCCAGAATCCACCAGACTGAAGCCACATATGGATAGGGCGTGCTTTGCGTTGGTCGGACTCTAATGGGAACTCGTCATGGATCTATTAGGATCTAAATGAATAGATGTTGCCAATAAGGCTGTATAAATGTTAAATAAGGTCAGACCCCTCAGGTAATCTATATTTTGTGCGGAAATATTTCTATTTAAATCAATAATCTCTTACTTCGAAATATATTATTCAAATTTTATCTTATTTATATTTCAAGAAAGAGATAAGAAAAATTAGTTCAAAATTATGTATATTATATTTTAAATAATTTTTGAAAATTAATCGCCGGCATAATTCTGCAACATTTTAATGTTTGTTGTGTAGAGAGGATTAAGATGTGTTTGTCTGAGATTTGAGAGTGAAAAAATAGATTCAGACTAAAATCGCTTTGAAATAATATTATTTATTTTTTTATTGAATATAAGCCAACATGTAGCATTGCGTTTGTTTAAAATTAAATATCTAGAACTGATTTAATAATTAAGGAAATTATAAAAAAATTGATTTTGCTTACCACAAAAAAATTGTAACAAATATTCTTTTGTCCAATTTGCTAACCAGAATCTTAAACTCTTACTCTTTGATCTAAAATAAACTTTTTGATCATGCTCGGTACGTCACATTTGGAGCATTATCAACTTTCCTTATCACTCGCATATATAATGAGATGCCCTCTGTGCCGCACGCCATTGAACAATCCATCGTCGGTGTTGAAGAACTAATCGGCAGAAAAACCCGGGTAAGTATTTACTTTCATATTTTTGAGCAATTTTCATTCATAATGATGTTTCTAAACAATTTAAAAAATCAAAAAAATTCCCATCTTCTTCAAATTAATTGAAAACCTACACCTTGAGTAACGCTGCATTAACCATGCACCTACTAGGTGTTTAACTGCGGCAAACTTATTTCTTATTTTTCCCCTTCGTTATAAATTTCTTGTTAATATTAAGTCTTCCTTCTTTGATGCTGAATTTAAAACAAAAATTAATTCAATCTAATTTTTATAATATAATATATGATGAATCGTCCAATGACTATTTTTTACCGCGACCAATAAGGAAAAAAAATCGCACCCAACCTGAATTTTTTTGGACAAGCAAAAAAGCATGATAGATGTTTATTATAACGTTTTTAAATTTATAAAAGTTTTTCATATTAAACTTGTTAAGTCATATTTTTTGCTTCATAAAACTTCATTCATTTTTATTTTTTAATGTGTAATTCATCAAATTTCTCATGCACCACTTTGTAATCGATAATTAAATTTTTTTTGCTCTTCCAAATTCAACAGAATCGTAATGTTTTTTTTTTTTTTTTTTTTTTTTAATTTTTGGGTGCGTCCAGGATAGATTTGAGAGTAAATGTTAAATTTTTTTTTTGAAAACATGCCATTCCAAATTTTAAGTATGTTGTTGGGGTGGTCATGAGGCCTCGCTCACCAAATTTTCAAGTCAAAATATGGGGTACTTTTCCGGGAAATCAGATTTATCCAAAAACAAAAAATATTGAATATCTTTGCTCCTATTGAGAAATTATAAATTATCTTTTCACTTCCTGGCGTAACTTTTTACGCCTAACAATTTTTCTGTTGAGAACTTTTGCGTAGGTCAAAGGTCAAGGTCACTAAATTGCAAATTTCACTTTCTGACGCAATTTTCGCAAAGATGCACACCTCAGAAATTTTTCGCAGTATAGGAAAAAATGTAGCCCCAAGTGTTTAGAACAACATACTTGATTTCCAGAATGGCATTATTTTTAGTTTTTTAATTAATTCTAAATGAATATTAAAAAACAATGAAAAATCACTTTTCCGCAATATAAAATAATTTTCAAACAGCGATAACTCAGTTTCTGTTAGAGATACGCAAAAATGTTTAAAACAAAAATGATTTGTTTTGACGTTTTGCATCTAACCATGTATTGGATATACAGGTCAGGTCACTTAGGGTCATTGACCTCAGTGACATGTGACCTTAAAGAGCAGTTTACTGAATATTTCGCACATAGTTAGGAAGAACTATTTTATGGAATGGTTTTCATAAGCTTATTACCATCTAATTATTTTTTGAGGTCACAGGTCACGGAGGTCAATGACCCCAAGTGACCTGACCTGTATAACCATTACATGGTTAGATGCAAAACGTCAAAACAAATCATTTTTGTTTTAAACATTTTTGCGTATCTCTAACAGAAACTGAGTTATCGCTGTTTGAAAATTATTTTATATTGCGGAAAAGTGATTTTTCATTGTTTTTTAATATTCATTTAGAATTAATTAAAAAACTAAAAATAATGCCATTCTGGAAATCAAGTATGTTGTTCTAAACACTTGGGGCTACATTTTTTCCTATACTGCGAAAAATTTCTGACGGGTGCATCTTTGCGAAAATCGTCAGAAAGTGAAATTTGCAATTTAGTGACCTTGACCTTTGACCTACGCAAAAGTTGTCAGCAGAAAAATTGTTAGGCGTAAAAAGTTACGCCAGGAGGTGAAAAGATAATTTATAATTTCTCAATAGGAGCAAAGATATTCAATATTTTTTGTTTTTGGATAAATCTGATTTCCCGGAAAAGTACCCCATATTTTGACTTGAAAATTTGGTGAGCGAGGCCTCATGACCACCCCAACAACATACTTAAAATTTGGAATGGCATGTTTTCAAGAAAAATTTTTAACATTTACCCTCAAATCTATCCTGGACGCACCCTTTTATTAATTGCAATTGTAAATGTCTGGAATTTTTGGGCCAAATTTTATATTACAATTAAGCAATATATTGAATGAAAAAATATTATTGATAACACATTGTATTATTATTATTGTAGTCTTCTATGTGGCCTTTGTTACAATACATTGTCTACATACGATTTTTGAGAGCAATAATTTATTAGAGAGGCATAAATCTTGATCGACTGACCGAAAATTAAATTAAATTAAATTAAAAAAAAAACGTGTCAATAAATTTTGATATCTACCAAACACTTCTCTATCATAATTTTTTTAGACCCTCAAAATGCTGCAATTTCGATGGCTCTTTATCCTTTCAATGCTGATGAGTATCTTGATTGGTGAGTTGATTTTAAATACATATTTGTTGCATTTTATAAAATGTGATTGGTTTGGGATTGTAACATTAAATCAAATTTAGAAAAAAATTGCATGACAAACTTTTTTGGTTCCATTTTATTCACCAAAAATGTGTGATATAAATGCAAAAATTAGCAATCTTTGCGTATGAACTTATTTAAAAAAAATTTCAGCCCAAACTGCGATTGCAAACAACAGACGTCGGGTGAGTAGTTCACTTTGCACTTTGCCAGAATAAAGGGAATATTGAAGAAAAAATTGCTTATCAGACCTGAAACCTAAAAAATCTCAATTAAAGAAAAGCACCTATGAAATTAATTTTTATTTGACAATGTTATGCTGGAAAATAATTTAATTGAAATCTTAAATACAATCCAACTACTAACGTGTATTAAATAAAATCTTCATTCCCATATACAGTGTGATCTATTATGTATTAATTTTTTTTTGCGGAGACATTAAAACAATTGTATATAATTTTTACAGATTTCGTCTAAAGCGTTGAAAGAAAAGAATGAAACCATTCAGAATGTGGAGAAGTTTCTGACAGAAGGCGAATACGCGGTAGACATGGAAGGATACAGCAAAGTAATTGCATTGCTGGGAATGTCCGGTACCGGCAAGAGCACAATCAAGAAGCTCTACCTGAGAGAACCAAACCTGATGGTCATAAAGGCCGGCACAAAAAGCGCGCGGTTTCTTTTCACGGACGGAGGAAATCAAATCAGTTTGGCCAACGAGACTAGCAAGTCGAAGACCTTGATTCCCATCACGACCATTGACCCTTCCTCGGGAGCACTGTTCATCGACTGCCCAGGTTTCAGTGACACAAGGGGTGTGGCCGAAGAAATCGCTGCGAGCTACATGATCAAGAAGGTTCTTGACCAGGCTGAGCAAGTCAAGTTCATCGTGGTCGAGAACCACGCTGGACTAATCAATGGCGGTGACAGGTACACAATCAGAACGTTCCTGCGCCACTTGGCCACGTTTATTCCTGACGTCGACCGACTGAGAGGCTCCATCGGGTTCATTGCAAACAAAGCTGAGAAATCAGCTGCGTCGTTTGAAGACGAAGAAGATGAGGTAATCGAGGTTTTGGAGAACTTCAAGGACGCTTTATTGGAGAACTCCGGCGACGAAAAGGGTGGCTATCTCCGGTCGGATGAAATTGCCAAGATGTCAAAGTTGATCGACATAATCAACGCTGGTGATCAAGGTGACAACGTCGTCGTTGTTTATAGGCCGAACAAGGAGGGCAGTCCTTGGGATATCGACTACATGAACAAAAGTGTCAACAATTTAAATGACATGATAGAAAACAAGTTGCAATTCGCTGACAACAGGGGAATCCAGTACAACTACAGCCTCAGCGCCCAGGGCGTCGCCCTCATCAAAGACGATTTGATTCCTATCAAAAGTGCAGAAATTGAAAGATTGGTCGTTACTGTCCTTGAGTCATTTCGGCAGCAGCTAAACCAAAGGATCCGTGAGAAAAAAATAATCAGTGAAAAAACTTATGTAATCAGTGCTTTAATCAAAGACGTTGCTAGCCAGCTTCAAAGTGCGTCTAAATATTCGGACTTTCTCTCTGAAATTGCAACATCTTCCGGTTTTGTAGTGGATGCTGACATCCTTCAAAAAATAAAAAAGGTGGAAAAACTATTCCTGTTTTTTATGCAGATGGCAAGAGTTTCTCGAGAACTCTCTACGATTATTCAAGATCAAAATATAATATCTGAAAAATTCTTACAACCCCTCAATGAATTGCAGCTTTATTACAATTTCATGCGTAAATTGGAAGAAGGTCTGCAAAGTTTTGAAGCTCATTTGAACCGGGAACGTTTTATAGGATTGGTCAATGTCAAGACAGGAATTAACTCCATGAGTGACTATGAAAATTTGATTTTTAATCTGAGCATTCTGAAAATCGCGATAGCGGATTCCAAAGCGCTCGTATCTATCAACTCCATCTCTACTGAAATGTTTAACGAGCTCAATGCGTTGCTGAAAAAAAACTTAGACTATGAAGTTGTGAAGCAATACGATAGTTATTCGAAAGAGTTGACCGTCAAGGGAAAAACAGTTTTGTTGAGCGAAGCTGCCTTTCATTCTCAAATGTATCCGGAAGCCAGGAACATCAAAATCTTTGCTTGGCAAACGCTCTTCGTAGATGGAAACTTCCAGCTGACTGATGCCAATCTTGCCATGGTCGCTCCCTCAATAAAAGTCGTCGTCCGCACGGTTATTAAGAGCACTGCCAGCGACTCGGCTGTAGGCAAAAGCGGGAAAAGTTCAGGATTCGTTTACATCAGCGCGCTCAAAATTGATAATCCATCTAGGCTGAGCGTCATCAGCACAGGTGGACGGGGAGGGAAGGGCATCGCCGGTGAAGCTAGTTCATGTCACTTCCCTTCAATACCTCAAATCTACATATCATCTGGAGCTAGTTATGGTGATATCACCACTCGACTTGCTAAATACCATTACGAAATACTTTTGGACACTAATTCAGAGTCCGAGGACAATTCATTCATTTATTACAGGTCTTATTATAATAAAATAATCTTCAAAGTCACCCATCCTAATGCCTATTCAGTGATTGCAGCGACCACCGGCAGACCAGGGGGCAAAGGAGGTTACCCTGGAAAAGTTACTTTGAAAACAAAGAGCTCTTCGTCCTCTCCAGTAATTGTGGAAAATCAAGGTGAATCCGGCGTTGCCGGAGATCCGGGCTTTATTACGCCTTGCTTTGAGAAAATCCCCTTTCTCATTCTCCATTGCGAAGAGAAAACTGAAAAAAATACTTTTGCCAAAACCAAATATCATGGATTCAAATGTTCAACTTTTTCGTCCGGGTTTGAAGAAACTGCGAACGACGTGGTGCCCCAATACCGGACCCAGAACAAGGGAGTGGCACCCGCAGAAAGTTCGCAGCCTCCAGAAACACCCTCGCGCCAAATAACCGCTGAATACTTGAACGATTCCAAATCGTTTGAAGCCGATTATACTGTGGAATTCAGCAAATTCATACGCTAACAAAATTGAAGACCATTTTTCAATACATAAAAAATGCAAACCTTTATAATGTATAGAGCTACTTCATTTTTTTGCTATTAAAATATCTACTTTTTATTATATTTTTTATTTCTCCAATAAAATGTTTTACACAGAGATAAAGGAAAACGAAATCATTGTTAAAAAAACTGACACACCAGATAGAATTTATTTAAATCATATCATAGTTTTGTTTTGTATAGTAGAATATTTGAATGATCGAGGGTTGCTCTGTAAAACAAAAACATCACAAAAACCGTCGCAAGAAAAACCGACATATAGTACATAGATTTGTTTTCCATAAATATATATGCAACTGCGATGCACTTAGTTAATCCTGTACCAAGTATAACGTTTAGAACTGTCATTTTTACCTGTAGGCATTTTATTGGCTTATCTGTTTAATGATGTCGCATAATGTGTGTAAATCAAATGACAATAATAATAATAAAAAAAAATATATTTACATGAGAATTTTTTGTTCTTTTCTTGCATGTTAATCTTAAATGCATAGTTATGTTCTTTGGCCTTTCATAAAATATGGAAAAAAAGCATATAAAGTTAATATAAATCTGCTTTGAAGCACTTACGACTTGGACTGGCGAAAATATTATTTATGATTTTATTATCAAGATATTGCAAAAAATGGATCAATATTAACAATGTGGGACAAAATCATTACCCTTTCTTTGAGAAAAAAGAAAAGGCAAAAAAGCAATTTTTAAGACGACCTGCTAGCTGCATGCATAGTGCATATGATCAAAATGTGTTTCATTACGAATCATTACACCAAAATAACCTGAATGTTTTTTTAATAGAACAAAACTCGCTTCACTCAACCCACTTATTTATTTTTTCTTTTTTGGGCGCAAGGCAAAAGTCTTAGTCTTTGATTTTGGGTGCCACGTGCGTTTCCCCTTTTAAACCGCCTAACGCCAGATTTTTAGCACACATCCCTCTTCAGCCCACTGCCTCTCAAGCAGTGAAGTCGCAATTGTTCAGATTAATTTCTTTTGCGGCAGGAGAGAAATTTTATTTTTCCTCCTTTAAAAAAGCACCATTGAATCAAAACTCTCACGATGGCGGAAAATTCCAATGAAGTAAGTAGATAAATTAATTTCTTTAATTTCAAAGAGTGGCCTCGCAGAACAAAGCGGCTCTGTACTGTTCCAACATATATGCATGAAATCAATAAATGTGCTTTTCACTTTATAACCACAAAAATTTGGTTTTCATTCACCATTCAAAAATTGTTTTTATAAATAGAACTCTACTCGCGTCAAACCACCAACCTATTTATGATGTGTTTATTTTTTGGCAAGGCAAAAAAGTCTTGGTCTTTAATTGAGAGGGCCACGTGCGTTTCCCTTTTTAGTGGTTTTTAAACCGCCTCATGCTATATTTTTAGCACACATCCCTCCTGAGCCCCTCCTGAGCCCGCAGCCTCTCACGCAGTGGGGTCATAGATGTTGTAAATAATTTCTTTTTTAACAGGAGAGTTTGTTTCCTTGAAAGATACATCGATGAATTCAAACTCTTGATGACGGCAAACTCCAGTGAAGTAAAAAAATCATTTACTTTTCAATAAATCTAAATGCAAATGGTATATTTTGCTTATTGTCAGTCAATTATAGCATTATTGGCATTGTTATTTGGAGAGGGTAAAATCAAGCGGTGGACGAGGTTTTTCTGGCGCAGAAAAAAGTGGCGAGAGCTCTTGCGGGTGAGCGGTATTGGCGCAGTACAGACGTACAGATCCTCTTTGTTCTGCGATGCCGCCCGGTTCGACTTTCTTCCGGTTTTTAAAATAACCTCTTTGAATCATGGAGGTTTGTTCTTTAATATTCGCAATATTATCAAAAAATAAGTGCTGTTCATGATTATCAGACAAGGGCTAAAGAGTGATTTTTGTATGTTCCTGCTCAAACTTTGTTCATTTCGAAGCAGAACCCTTTGACCTTTTTCGATTCGCTTGGAGCCTCGATACAAGATTTTTTAAACTAGTTTGAGGCGCTTTGTTCATTCCCATAAATTTTATAGCAAAGAGTTTTTTTCTTCAAGTTATTGATGAATAGTAATATTTTTTTACTTGTTTTGTACCGTGTTGCAAATGGGGCGCAACGCAACGAGTCATTAACATCGTGGTGACGCCTCATAAGTAACAAAATATTAATAATAATTATAATTAGAGAAAGTAACAAAATATTATTTTCAAAGAAAAAAATAATGTAAATTAAAATATGTAAATTCTGTTTCGCTTCGAATTTCGAATAATAAATAATTAATTCCAAATGTTATCAACGAAGATAAAGCCAAAATGATTTATTCAATTAAATTGTGTAAACATTTTTCATGCCGATTTTCCTCGTGGCCATAGTCCGAGCAAATTCGAGAGTGACCCAGAGGTTATCATAACCCCGTTTTGCCAACGACAGAGGAAATAAATTATTTCTTGTTTAAATGTCTGCTGTCTGCTCATTAAAATGATTTTGGCTGGCTTCAATGAAAATAAAATTACTGCAAATTTAAATCGGCTTGGATTATATTTTAATTTTGTGCAGAACAACCCCGTACATGCTAGCTATCCCAGAATCCACCAGACTGAAGCCACATATGGATAGGGCGTGCTTTGCGTTGGTCGGACTCTAATGGGAACTCGTCATGGATCTATTAGGATCTAAATGAATAGATGTTGCCAATAAGGCTGTATAAATGTTAAATAAGGTCAGACCCCTCAGGTAATCTATATTTTGTGCGGAAATATTTCTATTTAAATCAATAATCTCTTACTTCGAAATATATTATTCAAATTTTATCTTATTTATATTTCAAGAAAGAGATAAGAAAAATTAGTTCAAAATTATGTATATTATATTTTAAATAATTTTTGAAAATTAATCGCCGGCATAATTCTGCAACATTTTAATGTTTGTTGTGTAGAGAGGATTAAGATGTGTTTGTCTGAGATTTGAGAGTGAAAAAATAGATTCAGACTAAAATCGCTTTGAAATAATATTATTTATTTTTTTATTGAATATAAGCCAACATGTAGCATTGCGTTTGTTTAAAATTAAATATCTAGAACTGATTTAATAATTAAGGAAATTATAAAAAAATTGATTTTGCTTACCACAAAAAAATTGTAACAAATATTCTTTTGTCCAATTTGCTAACCAGAATCTTAAACTCTTACTCTTTGATCTAAAATAAACTTTTTGATCATGCTCGGTACGTCACATTTGGAGCATTATCAACTTTCCTTATCACTCGCATATATAATGAGATGCCCTCTGTGCCGCACGCCATTGAACAATCCATCGTCGGTGTTGAAGAACTAATCGGCAGAAAAACCCGGGTAAGTATTTACTTTCATATTTTTGAGCAATTTTCATTCATAATGATGTTTCTAAACAATTTAAAAAATCAAAAAAATTCCCATCTTCTTCAAATTAATTGAAAACCTACACCTTGAGTAACGCTGCATTAACCATGCACCTACTAGGTGTTTAACTGCGGCAAACTTATTTCTTATTTTTCCCCTTCGTTATAAATTTCTTGTTAATATTAAGTCTTCCTTCTTTGATGCTGAATTTAAAACAAAAATTAATTCAATCTAATTTTTATAATATAATATATGATGAATCGTCCAATGACTATTTTTTACCGCGACCAATAAGGAAAAAAAATCGCACCCAACCTGAATTTTTTTGGACAAGCAAAAAAGCATGATAGATGTTTATTATAACGTTTTTAAATTTATAAAAGTTTTTCATATTAAACTTGTTAAGTCATATTTTTTGCTTCATAAAACTTCATTCATTTTTATTTTTTAATGTGTAATTCATCAAATTTCTCATGCACCACTTTGTAATCGATAATTAAATTTTTTTTGCTCTTCCAAATTCAACAGAATCGTAATGTTTTTTTTTTTTTTTTTTTTTTTTTTAATTTTTGGGTGCGTCCAGGATAGATTTGAGAGTAAATGTTAAATTTTTTTTTTGAAAACATGCCATTCCAAATTTTAAGTATGTTGTTGGGGTGGTCATGAGGCCTCGCTCACCAAATTTTCAAGTCAAAATATGGGGTACTTTTCCGGGAAATCAGATTTATCCAAAAACAAAAAATATTGAATATCTTTGCTCCTATTGAGAAATTATAAATTATCTTTTCACTTCCTGGCGTAACTTTTTACGCCTAACAATTTTTCTGTTGACAACTTTTGCGTAGGTCAAAGGTCAAGGTCACTAAATTGCAAATTTCACTTTCTGACGCAATTTTCGCAAAGATGCACACCTCAGAAATTTTTCGCAGTATAGGAAAAAATGTAGCCCCAAGTGTTTAGAACAACATACTTGATTTCCAGAATGGCATTATTTTTAGTTTTTTAATTAATTCTAAATGAATATTAAAAAACAATGAAAAATCACTTTTCCGCAATATAAAATAATTTTCAAACAGCGATAACTCAGTTTCTGTTAGAGATACGCAAAAATGTTTAAAACAAAAATGATTTGTTTTGACGTTTTGCATCTAACCATGTATTGGATATACAGGTCAGGTCACTTAGGGTCATTGACCTCAGTGACATGTGACCTTAAAGAGCAGTTTACTGAATATTTCGCACATAGTTAGGAAGAACTATTTTATGGAATGGTTTTCATAAGCTTATTACCATCTAATTATTTTTTGAGGTCACAGGTCACGGAGGTCAATGACCCCAAGTGACCTGACCTGTATAACCATTACATGGTTAGATGCAAAACGTCAAAACAAATCATTTTTGTTTTAAACATTTTTGCGTATCTCTAACAGAAACTGAGTTATCGCTGTTTGAAAATTATTTTATATTGCGGAAAAGTGATTTTTCATTGTTTTTTAATATTCATTTAGAATTAATTAAAAAACTAAAAATAATGCCATTCTGGAAATCAAGTATGTTGTTCTAAACACTTGGGGCTACATTTTTTCCTATACTGCGAAAAATTTCTGACGGGTGCATCTTTGCGAAAATCGTCAGAAAGTGAAATTTGCAATTTAGTGACCTTGACCTTTGACCTACGCAAAAGTTGTCAGCAGAAAAATTGTTAGGCGTAAAAAGTTACGCCAGGAGGTGAAAAGATAATTTATAATTTCTCAATAGGAGCAAAGATATTCAATATTTTTTGTTTTTGGATAAATCTGATTTCCCGGAAAAGTACCCCATATTTTGACTTGAAAATTTGGTGAGCGAGGCCTCATGACCACCCCAACAACATACTTAAAATTTGGAATGGCATGTTTTCAAGAAAAATTTTTAACATTTACCCTCAAATCTATCCTGGACGCACCCTTTTATTAATTGCAATTGTAAATGTCTGGAATTTTTGGGCCAAATTTTATATTACAATTAAGCAATATATTGAATGAAAAAATATTATTGATAACACATTGTATTATTATTATTGTAGTCTTCTATGTGGCCTTTGTTACAATACATTGTCTACATACGATTTTTGAGAGCAATAATTTATTAGAGAGGCATAAATCTTGATCGACTGACCGAAAATTAAATTAAATTAAATTAAAAAAAAAACGTGTCAATAAATTTTGATATCTACCAAACACTTCTCTATCATAATTTTTTTAGACCCTCAAAATGCTGCAATTTCGATGGCTCTTTATCCTTTCAATGCTGATGAGTATCTTGATTGGTGAGTTGATTTTAAATACATATTTGTTGCATTTTATAAAATGTGATTGGTTTGGGATTGTAACATTAAATCAAATTTAGAAAAAAATTGCATGACAAACTTTTTTGGTTCCATTTTATTCACCAAAAATGTGTGATATAAATGCAAAAATTAGCAATCTTTGCGTATGAACTTATTTAAAAAAAATTTCAGCCCAAACTGCGATTGCAAACAACAGACGTCGGGTGAGTAGTTCACTTTGCACTTTGCCAGAATAAAGGGAATATTGAAGAAAAAATTGCTTATCAGACCTGAAACCTAAAAAATCTCAATTAAAGAAAAGCACCTATGAAATTAATTTTTATTTGACAATGTTATGCTGGAAAATAATTTAATTGAAATCTTAAATACAATCCAACTACTAACGTGTATTAAATAAAATCTTCATTCCCATATACAGTGTGATCTATTATGTATTAATTTTTTTTTGCGGAGACATTAAAACAATTGTATATAATTTTTACAGATTTCGTCTAAAGCGTTGAAAGAAAAGAATGAAACCATTCAGAATGTGGAGAAGTTTCTGACAGAAGGCGAATACGCGGTAGACATGGAAGGATACAGCAAAGTAATTGCATTGCTGGGAATGTCCGGTACCGGCAAGAGCACAATCAAGAAGCTCTACCTGAGAGAACCAAACCTGATGGTCATAAAGGCCGGCACAAAAAGCGCGCGGTTTCTTTTCACGGACGGAGGAAATCAAATCAGTTTGGCCAACGAGACTAGCAAGTCGAAGACCTTGATTCCCATCACGACCATTGACCCTTCCTCGGGAGCACTGTTCATCGACTGCCCAGGTTTCAGTGACACAAGGGGTGTGGCCGAAGAAATCGCTGCGAGCTACATGATCAAGAAGGTTCTTGACCAGGCTGAGCAAGTCAAGTTCATCGTGGTCGAGAACCACGCTGGACTAATCAATGGCGGTGACAGGTACACAATCAGAACGTTCCTGCGCCACTTGGCCACGTTTATTCCTGACGTCGACCGACTGAGAGGCTCCATCGGGTTCATTGCAAACAAAGCTGAGAAATCAGCTGCGTCGTTTGAAGACGAAGAAGATGAGGTAATCGAGGTTTTGGAGAACTTCAAGGACGCTTTATTGGAGAACTCCGGCGACGAAAAGGGTGGCTATCTCCGGTCGGATGAAATTGCCAAGATGTCAAAGTTGATCGACATAATCAACGCTGGTGATCAAGGTGACAACGTCGTCGTTGTTTATAGGCCGAACAAGGAGGGCAGTCCTTGGGATATCGACTACATGAACAAAAGTGTCAACAATTTAAATGACATGATAGAAAACAAGTTGCAATTCGCTGACAACAGGGGAATCCAGTACAACTACAGCCTCAGCGCCCAGGGCGTCGCCCTCATCAAAGACGATTTGATTCCTATCAAAAGTGCAGAAATTGAAAGATTGGTCGTTACTGTCCTTGAGTCATTTCGGCAGCAGCTAAACCAAAGGATCCGTGAGAAAAAAATAATCAGTGAAAAAACTTATGTAATCAGTGCTTTAATCAAAGACGTTGCTAGCCAGCTTCAAAGTGCGTCTAAATATTCGGACTTTCTCTCTGAAATTGCAACATCTTCCGGTTTTGTAGTGGATGCTGACATCCTTCAAAAAATAAAAAAGGTGGAAAAACTATTCCTGTTTTTTATGCAGATGGCAAGAGTTTCTCGAGAACTCTCTACGATTATTCAAGATCAAAATATAATATCTGAAAAATTCTTACAACCCCTCAATGAATTGCAGCTTTATTACAATTTCATGCGTAAATTGGAAGAAGGTCTGCAAAGTTTTGAAGCTCATTTGAACCGGGAACGTTTTATAGGATTGGTCAATGTCAAGACAGGAATTAACTCCATGAGTGACTATGAAAATTTGATTTTTAATCTGAGCATTCTGAAAATCGCGATAGCGGATTCCAAAGCGCTCGTATCTATCAACTCCATCTCTACTGAAATGTTTAACGAGCTCAATGCGTTGCTGAAAAAAAACTTAGACTATGAAGTTGTGAAGCAATACGATAGTTATTCGAAAGAGTTGACCGTCAAGGGAAAAACAGTTTTGTTGAGCGAAGCTGCCTTTCATTCTCAAATGTATCCGGAAGCCAGGAACATCAAAATCTTTGCTTGGCAAACGCTCTTCGTAGATGGAAACTTCCAGCTGACTGATGCCAATCTTGCCATGGTCGCTCCCTCAATAAAAGTCGTCGTCCGCACGGTTATTAAGAGCACTGCCAGCGACTCGGCTGTAGGCAAAAGCGGGAAAAGTTCAGGATTCGTTTACATCAGCGCGCTCAAAATTGATAATCCATCTAGGCTGAGCGTCATCAGCACAGGTGGACGGGGAGGGAAGGGCATCGCCGGTGAAGCTAGTTCATGTCACTTCCCTTCAATACCTCAAATCTACATATCATCTGGAGCTAGTTATGGTGATATCACCACTCGACTTGCTAAATACCATTACGAAATACTTTTGGACACTAATTCAGAGTCCGAGGACAATTCATTCATTTATTACAGGTCTTATTATAATAAAATAATCTTCAAAGTCACCCATCCTAATGCCTATTCAGTGATTGCAGCGACCACCGGCAGACCAGGGGGCAAAGGAGGTTACCCTGGAAAAGTTACTTTGAAAACAAAGAGCTCTTCGTCCTCTCCAGTAATTGTGGAAAATCAAGGTGAATCCGGCGTTGCCGGAGATCCGGGCTTTATTACGCCTTGCTTTGAGAAAATCCCCTTTCTCATTCTCCATTGCGAAGAGAAAACTGAAAAAAATACTTTTGCCAAAACCAAATATCATGGATTCAAATGTTCAACTTTTTCGTCCGGGTTTGAAGAAACTGCGAACGACGTGGTGCCCCAATACCGGACCCAGAACAAGGGAGTGGCACCCGCAGAAAGTTCGCAGCCTCCAGAAACACCCTCGCGCCAAATAACCGCTGAATACTTGAACGATTCCAAATCGTTTGAAGCCGATTACAACGTGGAATTCAGCATATTCATACGCTAACAAAATTGAAAGACCATTTTTCAATACATAAAAAATGCGAACCTTTATAATGTATAGAGCTACTTCATTTTTTTGCAATTAAAATATCTACTTTTTATTACATTTTTTATTTCTCCAATAAAATGTTTCACACAGAGATAAAGGAAAACGAAATCATTGTTAAAAAAAACTGACACACCCCCAGATAGAATTTATTTAAATCATTCATAGTTTTGTTTTGTATAGTAGTATATTTGACGATCGAGGGTTGCTCTGTAAAACAAAAACATCACAAAAACCGTCGCAAGAAAAAACGACATATAGTACATAAATTTGTTTTCCATAAATTTTATATGCAACTGCGATGCACTTAATCCTATACCATTGCAAGTATAACATGTTTATAACTGTCATTTTCACCAGTAGGCATTTTATTGGCTTAATCTGTTTAATAATGTCGCATAATGTGTGTAAATCAAATGACAATAATAATAAAAAAAAAATATTTACTTGAGAATTTTTTGTTCTTTTCTTGTATGTTAATCTTAAATGCATAGTTATGTTCTTTGGCCTCTCATAAAATATGGAAAAAAGCATATAAAGTTGCTATAAATCTGCTTTGATGCACTTAAGACTTGGACTGGCGAAAATATTATTTATGATTTTATTATCAAGATATTTCAAAAAATGGATCAATATTAATAATGTGGAAAAAAAATCATTAACCTTTCTTTGAGAAAAAAGAAAAAGGCATAAAAGCAATTTTTAAGACCTGCTTGCTGCATATGATCAAAATGTGTTTCATTTCACCGAAATAGCCTGAATGTTTTTTTAATAGAACAAAACTCTCTTCACTCAAACAACTCATTTATTTTTTTTTGCGCGCAAGGCAAAAGTCTAAGTCTCTGATTTTGGGGGCCACGTGCGTTTCCCCTTTTAAACCGCCTAACGCCAGATTTTTAGCACACATCCCTCTTCAGCCCCTGCCTCTCAAGCAGTGAAGTCGCAATTGTTCAGATTAATTTCTTTTGCGGCAGGAGAGAAATTTTATTTGTTATTCCTCCTTTAAAAAAGCACCATCGAATCAAAACTCTCATGATGGCGGAAAATTCCAATGAAGTAAGTAGATAAATTAATTTCTTTAATTTCAAAACTTAATTTAAGTATTATATTGTTACATTCATCAAATTTTCACCGACGACAAAAGACGGTCTCAGTTATATTTGTTGTTAAAAAATGAGCTGAATTGATGAAAAATTGAAAAATAAAAAATAATTTTTTTTATATAATATTATTATTTTATCATTTATATTTCTGCAGCACAATAATCACCATACAAAAATTAATATGGAACAATTAGAGAGTGACAGGGAAGTCGTTGGGAGTTATCGAAGAAGGACATGCTCGGCTAGTGAGGCCCCCAAAAGGTAAATTTAAAAAAAAAAAACTTAATTTTCATACAAAACATTTGGACGTCATTATAAATTACTTTATCTTACTATACAGGGTTCGGAGATATCTTTCTTTTTACACGGCTGTGAATATTGCCAAAGGTGTCGCAAATTTGGCTGAATCATCGGAAGAAGCGCCTAAAGAGCAGCCAGATGAAGATGTCATTAAATGTGACTGTGCTCGGGAAAGCTGCGGTATCGAGGCAAGCAGACATTTCAACCAAATGGTAAAGGCGATGACTGGAGACAATATTCCCCAATCAACCAACATCAACTGTGAGCACACCAAAGAAGTTTTCAAAATGACCCAAGATCCGGCCGGTTTCACTTTGCTTCAATGCGCCACGATTTTCCGTAACCTCCAAGTGATGAAATTTTTTTTGGAAACCTACAAGGACCTAATCGACGTCAACCAAAAGGCGACGAAGAACCTGATGGAGGTCACCGCCCTTCACCTGGCGGCGCAAGCCGACTTCCCCGAAGGAATTCGCCTTCTTCTAAAATATGGCGCTTTAATTGACAAAATTAACGAAACGGGCTTCACTGCTTTGCACCACGCGGCACTGCACAAAAGCACCGAAGCGGCCAAGTGTCTCATCGAAGCAGGGGCCTCGCTAAAACACACCGCCCCTGGGTTTTACAACTTCTCTGCGTTGTCGATGGTGCTGCGAAAGACGCCAAAAGCAATTGATTCTATTTATAAAAAGTTGGACGAGTCCATCACGGTCAAGGGCGGCGAAAAACCAGAAGGGGACGCTTTGCTTTCTGAGACGTACGAGGACACGAGCCGCAGGACGTTGATTTTTAATTTTTCAAAGTGGCAAGGCTCACCGAGGGAAACGGTCAGCTTTTCTCTTTTGCACGTTTTCGCCAAAGAACACAATCTGGAGCACCCCTTGCTGAGAGCAATGCTGGAAGCAAATTGGGAGCGAGCTAAAAATATCTACTACGGCCGGATTTTGTTTGGAATGTTATTTCTCGGGTTCATCACCTCCTATGTGTTGACGAAAGGCGACCCGTATTGGCAAATTTACGCGCTGCTCCTTTTCGCCTTTCTTGATTTTGTTCGAAAAGCAGCCAGTCTCTATTCCTACGCAAACAGCCCAACTGCCAACAGGCTAAGTTGGACTTTGCAGCAGTATTTCCTATCCTTTGACAACTATTGCGAAATCGTCTGTTATTTCGGTGTTCTTTTATTTTGGCTAAGCGACGACGTGATTTTGAAAGATCACGTAGGGCCGATGATTTTTTTGGCCGGTTGGTTTAAATTCATCGTAATGATTGGCGAGTTTCCGATTTTCGGCCTCTACATTGATATGTATTACGACGTGGTCAAGTCTTTTGTGAAATTGATATTTTCATTTTCAATTTATTTGTTAGGCTTCATCATTTGCTTTTGCATGTACTTCAACGGTGACACACACTTTTCTGCATTTTACACTGCCCTGGTCAAAGTCGCAGCCATGATGGTCGGGGAACTCGAGTACGGGGATCTGGCAAAAGCAATTTCCGAGGGAACTTTATCAAAAAATGTCAGTAGCACAGGCGCCGTGACTGAAATTCCAGGGTGGTACAGAGTGTTTCCCTTGACTTGTGTGCTGATTTTCATCGTGGCCGTTCCGATCGTCCTAATGAGTTTGTTACTCGGAATTGTCGTCCAAGACGTTAATGATATTAAGTGCAATGCGCAATCATTCAAACTTGCAAGAAAAGCAGAACTGGTTGAATATTGCATGGTCACCACAGGGTATGTGTCTCGGTTTTGTAAATTGTGTTGCTGCAGTACTAAAGCGTGGCTTGGTTTTAAACGTTCTTGCTCTCCGAAGTCTTATGCTCCAAGCGAGGAGAAAAATAATGACAAATATGAAATTGAATACGCGTTAGATGATGATGAACAGCCATCCTATTTGCACAAAGCATACGAGATTGCCACACAAAAATGCAAAAAAGAAAGTTCTGAAGGTTTGAATTAGTTTCTGAATTTAAAAAAAAAAAAAAAATCATCGATGACTGATCTAGAGGCTAAAAATTAGTCTCAAATGAAACTAATTGTTGGCTATGTTTTAAGTAAGTTATAACAAATAATTTTTCTCATTCAAAACCAACGTTAATTGTATGTGATAAGCCCGCCGAAAAAAATTTCATTCTGGAAACTGTTAAAAACTAATGCTACCTTTCTCGAGTTGAATTATAATTGTATTAAATAATATGACTGTGTTTGAAAGTATTAACAATAAAGACTTATATAAACTGTTCTTCAAAATATAAAAATAAATATATTTAAAAAAAAAATGCCCACCCTATTAAAATTATTTGACCAGATCCAGTGCAAATATTCCTCTTTTGTACAAAAAGTTAATTAAACATTTATTTTCAATTAAATTATTTTGATAAATTAGATATGTATACATTTTACTTAATTAATTTATTTATAATTATATTTAATTATTCTCACACTAAACTTTGAACCAGGCAGGAAGCTTCTTTGTTTTCGGAACGTGTCGAATTGTCAGAGAGTACCGTGTGCCTCTTTCGCACGACCCTTTCTGGGCATATCTAAATTAAGAATTAACTATTAAATATTAACTGCATTGAAAATATTAGCTGAATTACGTTTCTGAGCACAAATGCAAATTTGCGATTTTCTTGTCGGACGAAATCTCATCGAAGCCTCTCTCCGCAATGGAGTGCAGCATTTTGTTATACATTTCGTCCTGGACGATGACCAGACTTCTCGGCTCAAGCAAAAGAGACACGACTGGCTCTCTTGCACTATCACAGCTTTTGTTTTCCGTCTGGAAAAAAACGCAAGTTAGAAATTGATTGATGAGGACAAATGAACAAGTATTTACCTGGTCGGACCTGACGTCGAGCTCGTCGTCAGTGCGGGGAGTGAAAAAGTCCAGAAGGGTGTGCGAGCCACAGGTGATGGTTGTCACCGTCGGGTAGAACAAGGGGCCATCAGTGTGAGCCTAGAAATATGCAGATCATAATTGAAATTGGAAAATTTTATAAAAAAAATTATCACAATTCTATGAAAAAAAAATCCAATCATTTCATACTGAGATGCATTGCAGAGCTTTAATTTAATTTAATTTTAATAACAAGAAAGAAAATATAAGAAATTAAGAATAGGCCGAAGGTTGTATGGCTTATGAAAACAAATGAATGAGCTTTTCTTCTTTGGCACCGAGAAAGTGTTTGCCAAACCTCACCAATCTAAGGGTGAGTTTCAACCGTACAAAGCAAATCTTCAGATCAGTCATACCAAAGCAAAAATTGGGCAAAACCAGTTATAGGGGAATTTCACCCCTGATCTTAGCTCTCAGAAAGAGCGTCATAGCAAAAATGAACAGTAAACCTGGGACCATTTTAAATTTCTTTATTTTTCTAAAGAATAAAATAATTTCTTAAAAAAAATTTGCTCACAGGTAAATTTAAAAGGTTGAATGTTTCATTAAAAAATTCCTTTCCTCAAAAGACAGACTATAGAAGAATGTTTTTGAAATTCTACAACTCGGAAAAACTCCATAGCAAGTTGGCTTTTGGTAAATAACATAATTTTTTCGTTAAACTATAAATTGAGATGATTACCATAATGCCCTGGCCAGGCAAATACTCGTTGATCAGCACATGGTTTGGCTTGTTTCCTCCGAACAATTCGAGCTGCGCCACCTTGTCGACGCTTTTGGTCAGCCACTGTGGACGCAAAAATTGCAGTTTCAGCATTAAATAAATAAACCTTTATTTCATAGTTATTTCTAACGAAACAATAAAATTGTACAAGTAAAATTTGATTGATTTTGAAAATTAGAAATTAACCATTTCTTTTTTTTTTTACCTCGGGCAAAGATTCGGCGATCATCCCCTTGGGATGAGGAAGGCCGCCCCAATTTTGCAACCTCCTCCGAGACAGCTGCGTCCACTTCGGCTTTGGTGCATTTTGAATTTGCTTCATCAGACTTTGCTCCTCAAACTCGGTTATGAAATCAGGAATGTAGTGGATCGTAGGCGGTGCCTGTAAAAGGATTTAATTATTTTACATTTACATACTGTCGAGGATTTGGAAGTTTAGTGTTCTTTCATGAAAACAATAATATTTTACTTTGCATTATTTATAGAAATAAATATTTTCGGCTCTTTAAAAATACATCAGAAATTATTTGCAAACAAAAAAATTAAATGATTTTTTTCGACATTGATTACAGACTTACCCCTTCAACTCTGTATTTTTCCATGGTTGATTCCAAAACACCGTCAATTGTTGGATTTAAAATTATTTTGCATTAAAAAGTTCCATTTCAGCATCCTCTGCTTCCCAATTTTCCCAAGCAGATGATCATCAAAAATCAAAACAATCCGCTTTTTTGCTGCTGTTGATTTTTTGCCATTGACTACCACGGCTCCATCTATGAGTTTTGCGTGAAACTAACTGCTCAAAGGCCTGCTTGTAGCGCCAAAAATTTTTTACCCCCAACACCCTCCATTTGAGAAGGCGTGTTTTCATTTTCATTATATTTTTTAGTCATTTAAAAATGGGAAATAAATTGTAATTTAAAAATTTATAAATGGGAAAAAACAAACTCATGTTCAAGTTGATTTTTTTTAATGATCTGCTAATAACGCTGCGCAATATACAATTTTCATCAGTCCAATAAATATTTCTTGGTGGAACACAGTAATATTATGCGTAATACATTTTGATTCCTAATCAAGTTTTTTTAAACAATTTTACAAAATGAGATTTTCTAGCCACTTTCAAAAGTTCAAAATTGTATTAGTTTTGCAAAAATCTTATTTTTAAAAGTACCACAAGGTAATATACACTTTATAATTTTTTTAAATTGTAATTTGCTTCCAGAGGTAGATTATAAGTATGAAAAATTAGCGATTTTGTTTTGCAAAATAAAATGCATCTCACACAAGTATTTCTTATGAAAAAAAGAGGTGAATTGTCAATAAATGCTATTCTCTGCATATTTTTGTAAATCTTAACTGTAGATTTTTTTTTAAAAGAAGTTATTTGTTTGCAAATTCCATTCAATATATCACTCATTCTCTCTTACAATAAAAACGTCATTTACAACAATGGACAAATATATAAAAAATTTTGCAATAAGATGATAGCTTGTGAACAAACAAAAAGTGTTAAATTTTATTTGGCACCATTAGTCCTGCACGATGAGAGACTTCTTCTTGGGTCATGATTAATAACTACTGCTCAAAACTCGCGTCCGATTCGAATGAACAAAAAAATCACTCACGCGAGAAAAGTAAATTAGTCTTGCTGCACAACGCGCACTCTCTCTTGTATATAAACTTGGATCGCTTCTGCTGTTTTACTAAAAAAGGGGTGAGATGTGTTGGGATGACGAGACTGTCTTTGAGTCCAGAGCTATCTATTATTTTTCCATAATATAAATAGTACGTGTTCGAGGCCAGTAAGTACTCCTGCACTGGCAGTTGCAAAATGAAATTATATTCGTGATCGGAGTGTTGCGACCTCCGTCGATGGCTCGTCCACAGCTTCATCAAATTGCTCCTCAACTCTGGTCGACGGCCTCGAGGAGGGGGTGGTGGTGGCTGTTCTGCTGGAAATGCAAGCGTGGCCCGCGCAGCAACTTATCACGCGCCATTGGCGGCTGAACAAAAAATAATGATCAGTTAAAATTTAATTGTAATTCAGGTAAAAAATAAATGTTAATTTTTGTTTGAAAAAAACATTTTCTATTAAATTGATTGATTTTTTTTTTTTTAATTTTGAAATAATTACTACTTAAAGTTTTTCAAAAAGTGAAGAAATCACCTTTTATTAAAAAAGGCTAATATTAATTTTAAAAAAATCGTTAAAAAACCCACGAACGAGCCTTTTATTTTGCATTAAAAAAAAAATGTACTATTAAGAAGTAAACGGCCTTTTTTCTTCACTTTTATCTGCTTGAATACCCAACTTTTTCCTTTAACTTTTCGGAATTAATTCATTTTTTTATTTTTTTTTTTTTTAAATACTAATAGGATGAAGACAGGGTATATAGATGGTGAGTTTTAGTGAAATAATATGCACAGAAACCTTCACCATAAATGCAAAAAATGGAAATTAAAGAAAGCATAATTTAAAAAAAAAATCCATATTAATTCATTTCCCAATAAAATGTTAATTAAGCTTTGCAGAAAAGTGCATACCTGAGGGGCAAGTGAAAATTGTGCGATTGATTAGTCTTGCATGGTACACTGTACACGCGTCTACTGCTCATTGTAATTGTCGTCGTATTCGTCCTGGCCGTCGTCATAGTCTGGTTCGGGGGTGGTGTGCAGCACCAGGTGGGGGGCAAGGGAGGTCAACGCAGGCGGGGGCTACACCACAAATAAAGCAGCAAATCAGTAAAAGCGAAAAACTGGAAAATCCTTACTTCTATGGTGTTAATTTTTCATAAGACAAATTTTACAGAAATAAGAGAAAAGTAAAAAAATAGAGACGCAAAATTTTGTACCTTCGTGGGCGGCCGCCAGCCACAACCTGGCAAGGGCAATCCGTCGGGCCCTATGGGACAGGGTGCGTCCAACCCTGGAACACCCTGCTCTCCTTTGTCTCCCTTGTCTCCTTTCCGACCGCGTTTGCCCAGCGGACCCTGGACAAACAGTTTTTAATCAAAATATTTTGATATTTATTATTTTATCAAAGTAAAATATTTAAAAAATGTTAGAAATATAAATATTTTTTAGTAATAATTTCAAAGCAAGTATTTAAATTTTTAATTGAATAAAAACACATTGGGAAACTTTGGAAAGTTTGTAAGTTAATCAAAAGTTAATGAAGTTTAATTATGCCTCATTTATCGGCATATTTGAGATACTCTATCGATCTGTGCTTAAAATAATTTTAACTCAACTCACCGCTTCTCCTCTTGTTCCCTTCTCTCCTTTGGGCCCCTATCGAAAATCACATATTTTAATAAAATTCCGCCACTGCTTCAGAACTTTCCTTATATATTAAAAGTTTGCACGCAAGCTCTGCGAGTGCACAAAAGCGAGAGGGAGGCATGCGATTTTATTTTGCGTGGAGGAATTAGGAGTGCAGGCGAGAGTTTTTGAAAAAAAAAAAATATACTCTGCGTGCGCATTTTGTCCTCGGGCACTTTGCAAGTCACGCCCGGGTCAGTGGAGAGTTTGTTCTCAAATTTTCTCAAACTAAATTTTAAGGGTTAGTCCCGATCAACTCGCTTTTTGTCAAATGAATATAAAATGAGAACGAGTCGACCAGGAATGTAATATTTTGTATGACTGTGTAAAAAGTACCTCTGTTCCTGGGATGCCGTCAGTTCCCTACAACAGCCACACCATTATTTATAAAACACGCACAAACGTTATTGATGGATGAATAATAGTTGATGAAATTAAGCACAAAAATGCACTTTGTAAATAATTTCCTTCGGAAGATTATAAATTATCATTGAAGCAACATATATAAATTTCAAAAATAAATCTGAAATCCACCACCAAATCTTTTAAATTATATTCATAAACTCACAGGCAGTCCAGGATCACCCCTTTCACCTTTGCTGCCAGGTTCACCCTGAGCTCCCTGAAATGAAAAAAAAAATGTCCAATGTTACAAAGTTTTTAAATTAAATTTTGCAAAAATTGGAGTGTTTAAGGGTAAATATTATTATTTTCTTACCTTCATGCCATCAAGACCAGGTGGACCCTGAAATTGCACCAAATGAAAATAAATTTTAAAATAACGAAAAAAATATATAAAAAATAATTAAACGGGAAAAAACAAATGTGTGGGTAGCGGTAGCAATTAAATTAATTAAAGACGAACCAAAATTAACCATCACCAGTTAGAGAGGCACGCAGTTGATAGATCTCTGTCCACCTTTGTGCAGCAGGACGTGCTATTTTTTTTAATCAAATTTTGTTAAGGATTTTATAAGCATTATCATGATTAGTGAAGCAATCAAAAGGCAGCGGAGGTCACAATTGGAACATGTCAGTTTTATTGGACTAGTTGTAATTCTAATCTTAGGAAGTACTCGCAGCATCAGCAGTGTATTCACATCCAGTATGTTACGCAGAAGACACCACATGTATTGTATTAATCCATCTCGTAATAATTATATTAATCCATATATATTACAATTAGTTAAGTCGTCGATGATGCATGTACAGTACATATCTTATACATTAATTATTATTTATTATTTTATTAGTAATAATCAATAATCATTCATTTTGGTATTTCTTTTTTCAATCAATGTATTGAGATTATTAACATGCAATTTTGTCAATATCGTGTTCCGGAATTAAGTAATGGGTATGTATTATTATTAAATTTTGGCAGCAGGACACTTATTTCTCACGCAAATGAAAAATATTTTCTCTGTAAAATGATAAGAGTTTGTGCTTGCAGTAGAAGGTACAAAACGTTTTATGAAAGTGAGGCGCGCTTGGAAATAATAAACGTTTTGAATAAATAAAAAGCTACTTAAATATATAAATTTACTGAGACAATTATTATTTAAATTAAAAATGCATTAAGTTTGAGTCTGCAGCCAACAAATTTACATCCCGGGCAGCATATTTTTAAAAACCGGGCACGACACTGTCGTTTTTGTTGTTAGTGGCTTTATTAATAGAAAAATGTGAAAACGCGGCCCAAGAGGCGGCCGCGGCCCCTCAGGTGGGCTCGCGTTGGTGCGGCTCAGGGCCGTGAGTGAGGCTTGTACTGCGGTGAGAGGGGTTCAGTGTGTGGCTCGAGTGCCGCACCGGCCTTACCGTCTGGCCTGCCTTGCCAGGTTCACCCCGTCCCAATTCGCCGCGCAGTCCCATTGGACCCTGGAAATAAGAAAAAAATTAGAGTTATAGTTCAATTTTTTTCCATTTTAAATTATCATTACGTAAATAATTTAAATTTTATTAATATATATTTCCATCAAAAGTGAAATTGCAAAAAATTTATTGTGTTGAAAATCTTGGAAACTATTTAATAAACCGTTTGATAAAGAAATTTAATTAAATAAGAAAAATCCTAGTAAAATTTTCAACACTTTATTAAATATAATTAAATTTTGAACGCTAAAGTCACAACCGTTGTTGAAAATTATTATAAAATAACATTGGTGTAAACTTTTGCTAAAATCAATATATAAATTTGAAATACAAAAAATGAACTTTGTTAAATATTTAATAATTCGCACAAAAATCTAAATTTAGGTTGTTTTAATTTAGAATAAATTTAGGAATAAATAAAATGAGAAAAAATTAAATCTTTGAAATAAAAATGTTATAAAATAAAATATATGTATTGAAAAAATTTAAATATCATATTTATATTTAATAAATTTTTTTGATTTGTTGTCTTTTCTACAAACTTACTGGTAATCCCATTGGACCAGGGTCTCCTCTAATTCCCTTTTCACCCTGGCAAACAAATCAGAGAGCATATTATTCATCAAACATGAGAACAAACAAAAAACTTACAGGTTCACCCTTTCCACCATCCTGTCCTCTGTCTCCTTTAATTCCCGGAGGACCTTGGAGACCACCGACTCCTGAAATTGCAAAAATAAAAAAAATCAGAATTTCTATTCAATGAAAATAATTTTTCCACATACCAGGTGGCCCAGGAGGGCCTGGAGGACCAGGAATCTGCATTTGAAAAATACAGATTAATAAATTTGGATTAATAAAATATAATTTTTTCTCTTACAAATTCTCCTGTGGCGCTATACTCGTGTTGTCCATCACCCTAAAAATTCAATCAATTTAAATATGCACTTTTTAAATGTCCATTCAGATGCAGATAAATGCACAAATATGCAAAAACGTGCATTTTCATATCAATAAAAATATTTTAAGAGAAGATTAAATTTTTTAAACTCAAAATCATTCATTGAGAAGTTAAAATGTTTGCATTCGAAGAGAAAAGAATTATTCGAGACATACCTGGCGCCTTCTAAGCTTTTTGTATTTCTGTGCAGGCGAATCAATGCGTGCCGAGAACAGACAGAGTGAAATTTTTCTCATTAGTTTCGCAGCAGGTAAAAAGTGCATGCGCTCTCTTTATATACACAAGAGTAAATCATTGAAAATAATCTAACGTTTGGAAAATGCTCACACAAGTATGCTGGCTTGAATAATAACAAATCTAAGTTCATATTATTATGAATGTAATGAGAGATAATATATCTGGCTGGCTGATAGAGCAGGAAAGTATGCGAGTGCTTTGATGCAGGCCAAGTTTGGATCAAATGCAAATTAATGAGAGGAGGTAGAGACACAATAGCGTACGTAATTTAATGTGGTGGTAAATATGAATGAAAAGTAGAGCATTTCGTTGCAACTTACTGATCTAGGACTAATTGAGTGTGAGCCTGCTCTTGATCCCTGATAATCGTACAACAACAAAATTATCGTTCTCTTATGCATAAGTTTGAAATTTGGATTGTTGGCAAAATATGTGACTTACCGATTCGCCTTTCTCGCCCTTGTCTCCCTTTTGACCAGGATAACCCTGAAAATTAACAATAATTAATTTAGCTTCCTAATTAATTTTATATTTTTCTCACAGGTGGACCAGGCAGGCCAGGTGGGCCCATGAGACCAGGTGGGCCAATGTCTCCATACTCCCCTTTGTCACCTTTCGGACCGGCCTGACCCTGAAAATTCAACACAAAGGTAAGTGCCAGTTCTATTTATTTTCCATTTTTTGAAATACAAACCGGAAGTCCCGGTGGCCCTTGCGGACCGGTTTCACCATTGAGTCCGTCCAAACCAGGAGGACCTCGCGTGCCAATGTCACCCTTTTCACCTAAATCAAATTAATCTTTTGTAATTAATCTGTTGAAAATTTGTGAGTAATTTTACCATATGCACCAGCATCTCCTTTGTCTCCCTTCTCCGCACGTGGCCCAAGTTCTCCTTGCTCACCTTTCGGACCCGGTGGACCCGGAGGTCCCATCATTATGGGCACATCTTCGTCATCGCCAAATCGACCCTTCTGTAAATCGGTTTCAATCAGTACGTTGTCCATTTAAAAAGAAAAACATAATCAATTAATTAATTTAGCTGTGCATTCACAATTTTAGAAAGGCGTGTCACATGCAGAATTTAGGATTAATTTTAAAACGATAAATTAAATTCATGGAACTACTTACGAAAGCGCAAATTATGGGTCCGACGAAAAACGAACGAAAACCACGCTCACAACAAAAATTATAAGAAATTTTTGCTACGGAAAACATAAAAGGGTTAGTTGCTGTGTTAGAGTCCTACAGGAAAATAATTAGCACACCATCCATCCCCCAGGCAATTAGTACAACCATAAATTAGAAAAAATAAGGGCAACATGTAGATGAAGTTTCCCAATCAAACGATATATTAATTGCTACCGCCACCACACACATTTACACATATATTATGAAACTAAAATGAAGCACAAAAGTTAGTCTACGCTACATATTAAAAAGCCTGTGTATAATTTTCACACTGGGCATATTGAAAAGTGTGTTGTGCACATATAATTTATCGATTAATTTAGTTTGTCTCGCGCGCAATTAATAACCGGCGAACAAACTCCGCTTGACCCGACGGCGCCGAGTACAAAAAAGAGCTAATTTTACACATTAATTGATGTGCCAAATTAATTGCATGCAAGCTACAACGGGCACGCCGTTTTAATTAATTTATTTGGCCCTCTCCGTCAAAGCATGTGAGTTATGACAAGCGCACACCCGGCGTCAATTCACAACAGTGAATTTTCAACTTAGTGTTAGCAATCAAAATTATATTTCTACTGATCCAATGGTGAATAAGTTAGTTGTGCGCCTATAAAGAGTTACCAAATTTTGTTCTGACAACTTACTCGTTTTCCTCTCTTTCCTTTTCCACCCCTCTCGCCCGGTGGCCCTGGAGGTCCGGCAGGCCCAATATCGCCCTTACCTCCGGAAGGACCTAAAATACAATAAATGACAATCAAATCTATTTAAAAAATATTAAAATATACCTGGAGGACCCGGTGGTCCTGGTGGACCTTCAATAATGCCTGTAGGGAACTGCTCTCCGGCAAGGGTGGTTGTCAACCCTCTCTCTCCCTTATCTCCACGATCACCCTGAAATTGATTTTTGCATTTTAAATATCTGCACTTTGGTCTTAAAGTATAACAATCAAAGCTAAACCATATCGAAACATTCAGCCAAATAATTAATAAAATTGCAGGATCCTATCTACACAATTAAAGACACTTATCGCATTATATTTAAAAAATTTGTAAATTAAATTTTTTATCCTAGATGGAAAATATATAAAAGATATTTAATAATTAGTTCTATAGGTTCTCAATAACGAAAACAATAAAAAATGAAATTTTCTGTGTGCAAAACGTTGTGCATTTTAACTGCGAAAATTCTCACTGTCCACTGTGAAGGAATCCAGTACACGCTAGACCCTTTGTCGCCCTGAAATAGTGACGTCGTGTTTCTCAGTTTCAAACTCACTCTCTATTTTCATGATCCATTAATGAAAATGTAAAAAAAATTACCTTCGGTCCTGCTGGTCCAGGCATGCCAACACCTGGCGGGCCAATCGGTCCCAAAGGTCCTCTCTCGCCCTTTGGACCTGGCTCACCAGGCACTCCTTTAAAAATACAGCAAAAATTTATTAATTAATTGGAAATTTGAACTGCAGTTTTGAATTGTTAAAATAAGTTAATTCGCACCTTGCCGTCCATCGTGTCCAGGAAGACCCTCCCGACCCTGAGCTCCCGGTGCACCCGGTGGACCTGGTTCTCCAGGCTCTCCCTAAAAATCAATAAAAATGTTAAAAAAAACTGAAAATTAAAAAAAAAAATGAAGAATTAGCATTTACTTTTGAAATGGTAACAGTAAGAAGGATACTTTACATAACAGGACAGGTATAGTGAAATATAGTGGTGCAAATAATTGCTATACAACATGAGTAGTGAGACTAATTACTTAAAAACTTCTAATTACCTGAACACCAGAAGTGTATTTTTAAATGCATGCTGGGTGGGCAACATTGACGGAAAAAATAATAACGAAAGTACCTGCTGCAGGCTGTGCTGTTTTAATTAAATAAATTACATACTTTGAAATTGAAGCACTTGTATCAAGTTACTCTTTTTATGGTTAATTCTGCAGCACATGTTGGTGAGCAATTATGTGTATAATTATTTAATTACAAAGCCGCTTTTACAAGCCAAGTCTAAGCTTATATTTTTAATGAGTATAATTTTTAGTTTTAAAATTTTTTTTAAGCTGGATTTTTTTCTTTCCTTTTTACATATTTATTTTTATTAGATTTTTAGCGAACTTACTTTCAGCATGACGACGTTTTGAGAGGAAATGTTATGTCCACTAGCCTGAAGGCCCTGCAAGCAGCGCACCGCAGGTAAAAAGGGAACGAAACACGCAAACAAATAAAAAAATTAGTGCACAATTAACGTAAAAATTGTTAGCCTGAAACCAACCAAGGAAATTATACAGTCATCCAAAGCTACAGACTAAATACAACACATAAATTAGTCACAGGTGGATTAATGTACGAAGCACCAACCAGCAAACAACCAAAGGACCAACAGCTACTGATTATTAATTAGTGTGTGGATTAACAAAAGCGTGCGATAATTAGTCGATGACGAATATTATTGTTAATAGACAATCCAGTCAGTGCCGTCCTCGGGCTTTTTACCTTAACCGCGACGATTTCTGCGTATCCAAGGGTGCCGCCACGTAGGGTAGTTACTGAGCGCTTCACACCACCCTGCAAGTACATACGTCAACCCCAAACAAAGCTCAACAAAAGCTCAAATTGTGATAATGAGATCTACTTTGGAAAGACTGGTGGAAGTAAATTATCGAGAGTTCAAAATCGAACTGAACTATTAAAAAAATTTAGTTTTCTTCTGCTTATTGTAAATAAAAAATTACTCCACCAATCTGAACAATTTTTGAGTCACAGCCGCCAGTTTATGGGAAGAAAAGCTGTCATTATTTTTGGATTAAATATATTAGATAAGCATTTACGTCAAATTGCTGTCATCCGTCCGAAACTTACTTTGATAATTGACACGTAGTCGAGACCCGCGCCGCCGGCCTCTCCCTTGGGTCCTCGGTCGCCCGGTCGGCCCTAAAACACAATTGCGGCACTTTCTTTAGGGCAAACTTCAACAACAAAATCGTCGCAGTTGCCAAGATCACGGTCCCTATAGGCCGTGTAAGCTTCTTTGGGCTGGCACCTCATTAGTTACGTTTTATTCTTTGGTGCAAAAATGTTTTTTTTTTCTTTACTTATAAAAAGGCGGAGTGAGGGAAAATGTGATTAGTCATGTTACAGGAGGACTTTATGAAACGTGCAAATGGAAATTTTAAATAAATTGTTTTAGTTTTAAAGAGACTACTAATTAAAAAAGCTTCTACTCAAATTTGTACTCACTGGTTCTCCCTTTGGTCCGTCCAAACCAATGGGACCCTGGAAAAGGTCAAAATTATAACATCTGCAGGCAAAATAATAATTTAATGATCAAAATACAAATAAAAATGCAGGAAGATGAGAATTAATTGTTGAGATTAAAAAAGGAGGAATGAAAAACTAAAATGTTTAACTTTTTAATAAATCTATGTCACATTAGTATAAAGAGACGAAAACTGAACCCAATAACAAGATTTTCATTAATAAATTAAATAGAGGAAAAATTATAAGATAAATTCCATCACCAATTTATAAAAATAGAAATTAACAAATTAAACCTTTTTTATTACTTGTTAATAAAGAGTTACAAATTAATGCCAATCATGCCAATATATTAAAGTTTCTGGGTTGTATTTTTATTTTCATATCCAGAATAAATTTACTCAAGATCTATGAAAGTAGCCACTTAAATGTCTGGAGGTGCAAGGGTTGCAAAGAGATTCATTAATAGACACGTACAAAAAGTACAAAAAGCGGAAAACAGATTGTTAAACTATTGCGCCTGTGTTATTTATAATTTTATTGTATCAAAAATCAACCGTAAACACCCATGTTAGTATTTTAGTACAAAAAATTTAGTTTCACGACACAAAAGCTCTTTTAACGTTACGTACCATCGGCCCTCTAGCGCCTTTGTCGCCCTAAATGAGTAGCAAAAATAAAAATTACGTGAGAAAATGTATACTGATGGATTTATTTACTCTGATTTTAAATATTAATTATTGATTTTAATTTTTTCATAACGGTTTATTTTTAAATCAATCGAACGACTCAAATCAAGGGCGAGGAATAAAGGCCTTGCACAACCAGCTGATGGAAAAATTTTAACTAAAATTGAAATTGATTGTCGGTGCCGACGCGGCCTGTGTGGCAGGTCGGTCTGCCGGCCGGGGGACATCTTTCTTTCTCTTGTGTGGAGAGAAGAAAAATTCATTTCTGGCTAAATTACGAGGTATAAATGTCAAGAGCAATAAATTATTTACCGGGAATCCATTCTTGCCGCCAGCTCCTGGTGGTCCCTAAAACGTGAACATTCCAGCTAATGTACAAAAAGGTACGCACAACGACTACACGAGCGGCCTACCTGAGTGCCCTTCTCGCCCGAGTCACCCTTCTTGCCGCGCTTGCCTCTCTTGCCAGGTGGGCCAGGCGGACCTGCAACAAATTAATTCATCCCTCGTCAGTTTCAAACGTCTTCATTTATTTCTCTCTCGACGCGTTTTATGGGGGGCGCGTTTAATTGTTTAGCCCAACCACATTCTTTCTAAAGATCTTATCACGGCCTTCAAGTCCATAAAATTTGTTTTTGTTTAGTAATAAGCAACAAATCACCTCGATTGTGTAATTTTATATTGCCACCTTGGCTAGTTTTTTCATGGAAATCATTTGAATAATAAATAATAATTGACATATATTGATTATTTTAAATTCATATATTACAATAATACAATTATTATTGCTCCAATGACGCCGTGTTAGCAATTTAGAAGGTAATTTTAATTTAACTAAACTTATTCCATCTTTATGCATCGAAGAATACTTGTAATAAATTAAGTAATAATTATATTATAATTTATTTATGATTTATGCCCAAAACCCAATAATTATAATTATAGCAAAAATGAAATAATTAAAAAATACGTTTTATTTATAAAAATTAAAATAGTAAAATGTAATAAATTATAAGTTTATTTAGCTGAATGTAAACAATATTAATATTTAAGTTATTTTTTATATACAGCACTTAAAAAATATTTATTTCAATGAAATGGAACTTAAATACATAAATGTAATGCACATGGAAACTACTTTAATTTAATTATCTCATTTATTCGTAATAAAATTTAGTTTCATCGGAATGTTTCCTGTTCTGCTTTAATATATACAAACTGATAATTCCGGTTTTACCAACGCAGCAGCAATTAATGAAAGAAACTTCTGTTTGCCAATCCATTTACAGTGCTTGAAAAGCATTAATCGAAATGCAAGAGACGCTTTTCTACCCCTGCTCTATCGTTGGTAAATCTACCGCGTTGCACTTGACTGAGAGCAAAACTTGCAAAGCCCCAACCGACTGACGAGCTGCACAAACATTATTTCAAACAATATATACACAGAACGAATTGGCGCTCTGGCAAGAAGTGTTTGTACTGCTTCCAACTAATTGTATATAAAACCGAACTGCGTTTAATTTAAAACAGTCTCTCGCGGCACCTCGCATCAAGAGCGCTTTTGTTTGTATTTATTTCTCGTGGCCGAATATAATAGAGTGTGTGTGTTTATCGAGGAACAAGGAAACGCCATTAGGCTTGGAACGCACTCAAAACGAGCAAACTTTTGTTGGACTCTTCCATACCAACTAAGCAGCTTTGGATTTGTTACAGAGGCAAAAGGTCCTCTATTCATGGTTTATTGGAATTTTAAATTTATTTCAACCCGGCTGTCCGTGTGATTTTTGTCATATTTTGATACTCGACCTGTTTGACTTTGAGATTTTTCCCCGCAGCTGATTTAATCAAACGCTTGTTGAATTATTGATGCTTTTCGATTATTTGTTTTGGTGGCACGTGTGTGTTGTCGTGATTGATGGAATTTTTAATCAAAACGAAATATACGTTTCATTTCAAATTCCAAATCTCGTGCATTCATTTTCTCTGCGTGGAGCTAAAAAAAACTATGGAGAGAATTTTTCATTCTGACGCTGATTGAGCGAAGAGAAAATGAAAGAAAGTAATGTTTATTTTAGGCGGAATTCTAAATCAGATACTTGAGGAAAAAAAGTACAAGATGAGTTGATTTGTTTTTATACTTTCCATCTTCTCTGTTATTTAAGCTGTTATTAAAGATTTTTTTTTGTTACACTATTGCTGAATAGAAATTAATTTAATATAAAAATATATGTGAAATATATCAATTAAGAAATAATAATTAGGTTGTATTTCATGAAGTTTTTTTAATTGCTTTTAAAGAATTAAAATATACTGCGGCGGATGGGATCTTTTTGATCTCGGAAGTTGTAGCAAATTTTTTGCTAGTGGTGATGCCTTTTTGTCCAACAATATCTTTTTCTCAAATAATTGTTTTTCAAAAATTGACTGTAAACAATGTATTTGTAACAATGTGGACAAATACACAACAATAATAATATGGGTTCAATTTTTTTACCGAATTATTCGAATCAACCGCCATCAAATAATTTTTTCCCGTAACTCAACTTTTTGCACTGCACCAGAAAAACTTTAACTTCCGACTTTTCGAAGAAAAAAAGTTTATTTGCATAGCACACAATTAAATTCCGAATAGTTTCATTATCATAGTTTGTATCGTTCAATAAAAAGGTCGTTTTTGTGATAAGCACCGAACAGCTTCCTACTTTGAAAGACATTTTCTGTTTCATGACAACACGTTCGTGTTTGAAGCTTTTATGCAGAAAGTCATGACGTCGATAAAAAGTTCTACTTTGCATCTCAAAGCGAAGAGACGCTTTTCAGCATCACGGAAAAATCCAAACGTGGTCGTCGCGTCTATGGAGAATAGAAAAACACGTCAATAAGATGAAAATTGAATGATGCACCTTAACGGCTTCTCTCGTGCGGCTCTTTACATTGTTCTACAAGGGTTGCATCAGAAGGCAATTTTTGCCGCGTGTTACAAAATGCAACGCTCCTCTCGGGTGTATAAAGGGGCATTCACCATCGAGCACGAGAATAGATTATCAATAAAGTGCTGCTGGCGCTGCACGAGAATGAATAAATAAATTGCGCGCCGCCCAGTCGAGCTCCTTTTCTTCATCTTTTTATTATCATCTCTGCTCTTGCTACATTCACGTGATGCATTTTATCTGCTCCGCAAGAAAAGGAGTTTTTTTTTTGTGCGCGGATATAAGACGACGAAGGAAGGAAAGCGAATGAAAAAAGCAGTCTGTGGTTGTATATGGGAATAAGAGCACGGCGTGCGGCGGGAAACGTAATTTCTTATAAATATTATTGTATAATGGCAGAGTGCAAAACACGAAACGAGCAGCACAAAGGTTTTGAACAATACATTACTGGATTATTTCACTTATATAACGTCTGATTATTTGTTAGAATGAAGTGTGTTGTTCATTTTTTATTTATTTATTTATTCAAAAACTAGTGCATGTTCATTTAAAAAAAACTATTACGTCAAAACTTTGTAAATTGCTCTCTTGATGACTTATTTATTTCTGCACGAATTGTCACTTTCCAATCATTGAAACAAAAAAATACAATATCTTGTTTTTTTCCCAAATAATTTTTACATGCCTTTTGAACGATTTTGCACCTTCAAAAAATATAATGTGTCATGACGATGGAATATTATTAAATAAATAATTGGAGGTCGCTTTGAAATAATGATTTTTCTCCAAAATTAATCCAACTTTTTGAAATTCTAAAATCTCTAACTGGTCTTCTTTCATATTTTTGTTCGTCAACCACAATAAGCTGCACTTTATTTAAATGGTAAATTTTTCCTCAATTTTTTATTACTTTTTCTTATTAATATAAGATTTTTTTAGTTATGCTAAGCGTGTTTTCTTAACTTTTCACTTATTTTCGTGCTCATATTATAAATAAAATAATTACCCCATTTCACATGGTTATTGAGGTCGTCACATCTTTGATTTTCAATTGTCTTTCTATTCTATGCTTTGTGGTATCAAAAATAAATTGATTACTAAACAAAACGAATCGTTATGTTTGTCTGTTTATGTAGTAAAACTAGTTCAATCTTCTAATTTATAACCAAATTTAATCAGAAGAAATTTATAATTTAATTAAAAAATTTATATTAATTGTAAGAAATATTTTATAAAAATGCAGAAATAAAATCATAATTAATATAATTTACAATAATGTATGAATTTCTCACGATTTTAATTATAATATTTCTGTTGCTTAAGCCAAATAAGTTTTAACTGCAATTTATCATATGGGTACATGAAATGAAGACATATCGCTCTGTCTGGGTCGCTAATTTAATTGTAAAACAACACTTATCGCATGACTTGGGCAGCTCAGTTTCGACCAGCAATAAGAAAGAGGTCCTGGTTTCATTGAAATATTGCGAGAGGATGCTGCCTTGCCTACTATGAATTAACACGCAACACAGAACACAATAAAGTGCCGATTTTATGGCCCACTTTCAGCATTCACATGATATTGCAAGTGCAGACGGAAAGATTATTAACTCGGGCAGCAGACTGTTGGTCCGATCGTTTGTCACAAACAAAGTCTTGCTGCTCCTTTTCGCCGGGTGTGCTGCTGGGTCGGAGGCAGCAATTATCTCGTCCACCGCGCCGCCACTGCATCGATCACCGACCGAAAGTTTTAGCGGCGGCACTTTGCTGACCTCGCACACCATTGAGAAACCACCAGCAAGAGGCCATTGATACTGCCTTGGAGACACAAACTTTTAAACTATGTGCTGAGGTCGATAATTTCCACGATGAAAGGAACAAAACGAAAACTTTATTCTTTTTAGCTGCCCAAAAATTGAAATTATTGCTGCAAGAAACTATGAAAACGTGTGAAATCTGCATTTAATATTTTTTTATAATAAAATTTTCATTTGTTATTTCTTTAAAAATTTAATAAAAAATCGTACAAAAAAAAACCAAGATCTGCTCTTTAAAATAATTATGATTTTTTTTTTACTTCTATTAAATAATTTTCATTTATTTTAAGTTATGAGATAAGAGTTCAGCAAATTAATCAAATTTTAAACTATTTGTAATGCTTTAGATTATAAATTAATTGAATTTATTAGATAAAATACTTTACTGCTCGAAAGTTTCCACGCAGAGAGTATCCTTTTGATTAAATGTGAAATAAATTAAACTGGTGGCAAGAGATAGGTCGAGAGAGTTGTGCGCAAATCTGAATTTCCGTCTCCAGTCGACCGCTGGACGTGCCTCAGCGAATTTAATTTCAATTCACATCCACCCAGTGTTAATAAGATTGGGAAATGAAGCCGTAAATCAAAGTTTATTCCGCGCCGGCTGCACGAATAACGCCGGGCACGCTTTAATGAAACAAGAGGGAATTGGATGTGCAGAGCAATCAATTTTGAAACTACTCTTTACGAAAGGAAGTTTTTATTTGTATTTAATTCTATTAAGCCACAATTGGTTC